AGATGTCAATGCTACCTAGAGCAATCTACACATTCAATGCAATCCCCATCAAAATACCATCCACTTTTTTCAAGGAAATGGAACAAATAATCCTAAAATTTGTATGGAACCAGAAAAGACCCCGCATAGCCAGAGGAATGTTGAAAAAGAAAAGCAAAGCCGGCGGCATCACAATTCCGGATTTCAAGCTCTATTACAAAGCTGTCATCATCAAGACAGCATGGTACTGGCACAAAAACAGACACATAGATCAATGGAACAGAATAGAGAGCCCAGAAATGGACCCTCAACTCTATGGTCAACTCATCTTTGACAAAGCAGGAAAGAATGTCCAAAGGAACAAAGACAGTCTCTTCAACAAATGATGTTGGGAAAATTGGATAGCCACATGCAGAAGAATGAAACTGAACCATTTCCTTACACCGCACACAAAAATAGACTCCAAATGGTTGAAAGACCTCAATGTGAGACAGGAGTCCATCAAAATCCTAAAGGAGAACACAGGCAGCAACCTCTTTGACCTCAGCCGAAGCAACTTCTTCCTAGAAACATCGCCAAAGGCAAGGGAAGCAAGGGCAAAAATGAACTATTGGGACTTCATCAAGATAAAAAGCTTTTGCAAAGCAAAGGAAACAGTCAACAAAACCAAAAGACAACTGACAGAATGGGAGAAGATATTTGCAAATGACATATCAGATAAAGGGCTAGTATCCAAAATCTATAAAGAAGTCATCAAACTCAACACCCAAAGAACAAAGAATCCAATCAAGAAATGGGCAGAAGACATGAACAGACATTTTTCCAAAGAAGACATCCAAATGGCCAACAGACACATGAAAAAGTGCTCAATATCTCTCAGCATCAGGGAAATCCAAATCAAAACCTCAATGAGATACCACCTCACACCAGTCAGAATGGCTAAAATTAACAAGTCAGGAAACGACAGATGTTGGCGGGGATGCGGAGAAAGGGGAACCCTCCTACACTGTTGGTGGGAATGCAAGCTGGTGCAGCCACTCTGGAAAACAGTATGGAGGTTCCTCAAAAAGTTGAAAATAGAGCTACCCTATGATCCAGCAATTGCACTACTGGGTATTTACCCCAAAGATACAAAAGTAGGGATCCGAAGGGGTACATGCACCCCGATGTTTATAGCAGCAATGTCCACAATAGCCAAACTGTGGAAAGAGCCAAGATGTCCATCGACAGATGAATGGATAAAGAAGAGGTGGTATATATATACAATGGAATATTATGCAGCCATCAAAAGGAATGAGATCTTGCCATTTGCAACGACGTGGATGGAACTGGAGGGTATTATGTTGAGCGAAATAAGTCAAACAGAGAAAGACATGTATCATATGATCTCACTGATATGAGGAATTCTTAATCGCAGGAAACAAACTGAGGGTTGCTGGAGTGGGGGGTGGGGTGGGAGGGATAGGGTGACTGGGTGATAGACACTGGGGAGGGTATGTGCTCTGGTAGGCGCTGTGAATTGTGCAAGACTGTTGAATCTCAGATCTGTACCTCTGAAACAAATAATGCAATATATGTTAAGAAAAAAAAAGAAGAAGGTAGCGGGAGGGGAAGAATGAAGCGGGGGAAATCGGAGTGGTAGACAAACCATGAGAGACGATGGACTCTGAAAAACAAACAGGGTTCTAGAGGAGAGGGGGGTGGGAGGATGGGTTAGCCTGGTGGTGGGTATTGAGGAGGGCACATTCTGCATGGAGCACTGGGTGTTATGCACAAACAATGAATCATGGAACACTTCATCTAAAACTAATGATGTAATGTATGGGGATTAACATAAGAATAAAAAAAATAGGGCGCCTGGGTGGCTCAGTTGGTTAAGCGACTGCCTTCGGCTCAGGTCATGATCCTGGAGTCCCAGGATCGAGTCCCGCATCGGGTTCCCTGCTCGGCAGGGAGTCTGCTTCTCCCTCTGACCCTCCTCCCTCTCATGTTCTCTGTCTCTCATTCTCTCTCTTTCAAATAAATAAATAAAATCTTTAAAAAAAAAAAAAGAATAAAAAAATAAATATAAAAAAATAATAATAAACTTAAAATAATTTCCATTTTTACAGATATTTGGAAATTTCCATAGTAAAATATTGTAAAAAATAAAAATAACAACTAAAAAAATGTCAGGTGCCTGCTGCATCCAAAGATATTTATAGTGTCAACCAAAAAGATTACAATAGCATCCCTATTTCTTTTTTTTTTTTTTTTAAGATTTTATTTATTTATTTGAGAGAGAGAATGAGATAGAGAATGAGAGCACAAGGGGGGGAGCGGGAGAGGGAGAAGCAGACTCCCCGCTGAGCAGGGGAGCCTGACGCGGGACTCGATCCCAGGACTCCAGGATCATGACCTGAGCCGAAGGCAGTCGCTTAACCAACTGAGCCACCCAGGCGCCCCCTATTTCTTTGTAATGTGAGAATCTTGTTCAGCTCATATCCACTCTGGCAGTTATTACTCCTCCTATAAAAAAGTGTTATTATGAAACCTTGCTGCATATGAAACTTCCTTTTGGGGCGCCTGGGTGGCTCAGTCGATTAAGTGTCTGCCTTCGGCTCAGGTCTGATTCCAGGGTCCTGGGATCGAGCCCCACATCGGGCTCCCTGCTCCGCGGGGAGCTTGCTTCTCCCTCTGCCTCCTGCTCCCCCTGCTTGTGCTCTTTCTCTCTCTCTCTCTCTCTCTCTCTCTCGCAAATAAATAAAATCTTAAAAAAAAAAAAGATCAAAAACTTCCTTCTGCTATAACAGGCCTCAGGGGCAGTAGTGGGAAAAGCAGAGACACACACACAAGCAGATCAGGAAGCACTCAATGAGACCAGAAGCAGAAAGCTACAGTAACATGCAAACAGAGAGAAGTCACAGGCTGATCTCAAGTATTTCCAAGGCATACATGGCGTTACCATTTCCTGGGGACTTCTACTGGATCTTCACAACAGTCTTGTGAAGCAGGGAAAACTCTTTAAGATACCAAACTCAGGACAACCTTCCCCATTGAAGGTAGGCCCTAGACCTTCAAAAGATCTCCTACCACAACAAAATGCTGACCGCTAGATTATTCTGAACTTAGTGAATGAATGATTCACCATTCCATAGACACATCATGAATGTTTGCAGCAATCAGTCTAAAATCTCATTGCTTATTCTCACCTACTTTGTATTCTTTTTTTTTATTTTTTTTATTTTTTTTTAAAGATTTTATTTATTTATTAGAGAGAGAGCACATGAGAGGGGGGAGGGTCAGAGGGAGAAGCAGACCCCCCGCTGAGCAGGGAGCCAGATGCGGGACTCGATCCAGGGACTCCAGGATCATGACCTGAGCCGAAGGCAGTCGCTTAACCAACTGAGCCACCCAGGCACCCTGTATTCTTTTTTTTTAAAGAATATTCCACACTCATGTATACTTTCTATTTATGTATGTATGTATATATTTACTTAAAGTAAGCTCCATGCCCAAAGTGGGGCTTGAACTCACTACCCCAAGATCAAGAATCACATGTTCTATTGACTGAGCCAGCCAGGCGCTCCATCAGCTACTTTACATTTTTAATTCCCAACTTTACCCTATTCTAAGTCCTTGGTTTTATGCCCTACTGAGATCCTGTCTCTGGTACCTTGGAGTTAGTATTTTTGTGTCCATGGTGACTCAACTTTTTTTAAAGGATTTTGGCTTTGACTTGCCTGCCTGTCTCTTTCTGTCTAGACTTTTGGGATTGGACCCCACCCTATTTTGGCCCCTAGAAGCTAACTCCTGAAATCAGCTGGAAGAGTCCCACTCACCTCTACTCCTCATAAATGGGAAAGTCTGGATCCACCATTAGTCATCTAGCTCCTTTGCTATGCTTCGTCATCTGTCCCTCCTAGCTCTGTTCTTAGATTGACAACTCAGACTTCAGTTGTCCCTATCCTTCTTCTAATTTGCATTCTCCAGCTCCTGACGTCTTCCAAGAACTGATTCCTTAGTACCTAATCTTGACAAGTATCTTATTAACAGCTTTGCTCCTCATTTCTCAGCACCATCAGATAGGAAGACTCAGCTTCCATAAGTCAGACAGTGGGCAAATAAGGCAAATTTATATTATTTATTCTCATTCAGGAGAAACACATTCAGAAAGATCTAATAATTTTCCTGTGGTTCCATGGCAAGTAAGCTGCAGATATGTAATTTGAACCCAATATTCTAATTCCACTATTCCTTCCAGGTTTTGTAAAGTACCACAGTCATTCAGAAACATTATAGTTATGATAGTATTTATCATGATCATCTATAATAATTATATGTATTGACCATCTACCTCTGTGCTCTCATTTAACCTCACCACAATCCTGTGAAGCCTCTTGATGCTTGACACAGAGTAGACACTCAGTAAACATCACTGACTGATGAATGAACAAATGGACAAATAAAATTTTTCACAGCAGTTATTATCTGCATCTACAGATGCGAAAACTAAGGCTCACACTTTTGCCAAGGTCACACATCTAGATGTTGATTTGAAACCAGATCAGTCTGTCTCCAGAATCTATACATTTTCTAGTAATTCACATAGCACTTCACTCCCAATCATAAAAGAATATGGTGTCGGGGCCCTTGGATGGCACAATTGGTTAAGCATCAGACTCTTGATTTCAGCTCAGGTCACTATCTCAGGTTTGTGGGATCGAGCCCCACATCAAGCTCTGCACTCAGCGCACAGTCTGCTTGAGATTGTCTCTCTCCCTCTCCCTCGGCCCCTCCTCCCCTCTCTAAAATAAATAAATCTCAAAAAAAAAAAAAGAATATGGTGTCAAACATCTCAACAGAAATCATCTTAAGGAAGTTCTCAACTATTATATTTTTACTATAGAAAATAGAAATGCAATTCAGTTCCTTATTATCAATAGAATAAAGAAGGGAACTTTTGTGATCTTCTCAAAAGCAGATATAAACATAATTGTAATATAAAACTCAAACCGGGATATTCCAGCAACAGCTCTAACCTGATTTTGGACAGTAGTTCTCCTCTATCTGCACAATCCACACTGACTTGTCGAATAAGTTCATGAAATACTGTATTGTAAATGGTCTGTTCCTTCCTCAATACATGTAGTAGTTTGTGCATCTGGCAGAAGATAAGGAATATCATCAGTATTTATTACTGTCTTATCAGTAAAAAATCATTTTAGGAAGTAAATACTCTGAATGTGAATGTTTTAGAAACACCTTGATAATTTATTTCACTTATATTTTTCTTTATAAATATATCTACAAAAATGATATATTATTTTTAAAATATAAATATAAAAATATAATATATTTTTAAAGTATGTTTAATCATGTACCTCTTTACATGATGCACTGAGAAGGTCACAGTATCACTTCTATATCATCCCCGCCAAAAATACATAACCTGAATCTAATCATGAGTACACACCAGACAAACCAAAATTGAGGAACATTCTACAGAATAACTGGCATATGCTCTTCCAAATATCAATGTCAAGAAAAACAAGGAACTGTTTCAGAATATAGTTGTCTAATGGAACATGACACATGAAAGCACTATGTGATCCTGGGATCCTGAAACAGAGGGGACAAGAGCTATAAAAACTATTATAGGTACAACTGATAAAATTTGAAATTTGAATATGGACAGGTAATACCAACACATCAATGTTAAATTTCCTGATTTTGATTAACTATATTATGGATATATTAGAGAATATCCTTATCCATAGGAAACATACCCTGTAATGTTTGCATGATGTCAACAGCTTACTGTAAAATGGTTAGGAAAAACTATACATATGGAGATATGTATGTAAAGAGGAAGAGAGAATGATAAAGCAAGTAGGGCACAATGTAAACTATTAGTGAATCTGGGTAAAGCTTACATAGGAATGCCTTATACTGAACTTGTCTTTAAGTTTCAAATTCTGTAAAAATAAAAATTTACAAAACAAAAGAGGAAGAGCCCTCATAAAGAAAAATATCTGTATCTCTGTAAGGTTGAAAGAGCTTTTTCATTAATGAAATAAAAATTTTAAAAGGTAAGAAAGCATGGTTTAATTGGCAGTGTTTTTTAGTAGTACATAAAATAATAAAGGTCTTATAATTAATGGTACTTTATAGTCAATGAAATACGGTAATAATAATACCAACAATTATACAGTGTTTGCTACATGCCCAGCACTATTCTAAGCCCTTTATATTCATATGTCATTTAATCTCCACAACAACCCTATGAGGTAGGTATTATTATTACCTCTAATTTAAAGATGAGTACATTGAGACACAAATACATTAAGTGAGTTGCCCAAGGTCACTAGCTAATAAATGGCAGGGCCAGGATTCTAATCCAGACATTCTGGCTCCAGAATGCATGCTCTCAACCACTAGGTTACATTGATCTTTGCAATTACCTTGGTTGGCCCTGTATATTCCTGATTTTCCACACCAGCCCTCTCTAGCATAGCATCCATCACATCATTCAGCTGGACCACTTCTACTCTTTTATTAGGTTTCCTAAAAGATTAAGGTGACAGACTTATGTAATTAAGTGTTATAACAGGTTATCCTCAAATGACAAAAAGAATATAATATATACAAAATGTATATACTATGGAATATTAATGGGTTTGTTTTGTTTTGTTTTGTTTTTTTAGGGAGAGCTAGCTGGAGGAGGAAGGACAAAGGGAGAGGGAGAGAAGCCCCAAGCAGACTCCCCATTGAGTGTGGAGCCCAACCTAGGGCTCAATCCCAGGACCTGAAGATCATGACCTGAGTGAAACCAAGAGGTCACCCAACGGACTGAGCCACCCAGGTGCCCATGGAATATTAATGGTATTTCAAAGCATTAGCCCTGTATGTACTGATCTAGTGGATTATAGCAGTAATAAAATTTTTAAAAAAAGAAAAAGGGAGGCGCCTGGGTGGCTCAGTCGTTTAGCATCTGCCTTCGGCTCAGGTCATGATCCCAGGATCCTGGGATCGAGCCCCGCATCGGGCTCCCCACTCTGCGGGAAGCCTGCTTCTCCCTCTCCCACTACCCCTGCTTGTGTTCCCTCTCGCTATGTCTCTCTCTGTCAAATAAATAAATAAAATCTTTAAAAAATAAAAAAGAAAAGGAAAATGTAAATAGTATGATCCTCTTTGTAAATAAAATAATGCTTCCTTCCAAAAATTCTATATACCTAGTGTGCAGGATTGTAAAAACATAGAAGAAATATGGAGAGATAAATACCAAGCTGTTAGTATTGGTTACTTCACAATGTAAGTATGTAAGTGAAGAAAAAGGACAATGGAGAGATAAGAAAAAAAAAAAAGACTGTAGCAAACAATCTGCTGTACAACATTGTGCCTAGATTGAATGATACTGTATTGAAAACTTAAAAATTTGTTAAGAAGACAGATTTCATGTTAAGTGTTCCTACCACAACAAAATAAAATTTTAGAAAAAAAAAATTTTTAACTGTAAAAAAAAATATTTTATAGTACTTAAATATTATTATAAATATGTGAAAATTGAAAACACTGATTAGATGATGGAATTGTGGACACTTATTATCTTGGGTTTCTGCTATAATTTTAATATTTTCTATGCAATAAAGTACTAAAAAATACATATGTATATTAAAATACATATTCACATGTATATGTTCCTTCTGAGAAATACTTTCAAAAATAAACTGTACTTACATGGATGGGAAGAGCAATAGCCTGTTTTCACTATCTGTGAGGAGAGTAGTATATTTGCTGCAATAAATAAGACAGATAAATATTATTGTAAGAAAATTAACTGGCCTGTTTATCACATATCACAACATGATAAACCTAAGACCTCAAAAATTGGGAAGCTTGGAGGCAATCAAAAAGGTCTATCATTTTACCCACAAGATCATACCAAGGCATCTACAGACACAGATGTAATGACATTTATCATATTTGGAATATTATTAGTAAAGAAGTTTTTTTTTTAAGATTTTTTTTTTTTTTTTTTTTGAGAGAGAGAATGAGAGAGAACACATGAGAGGGGGTAGGGTCAGAGGGCAAAGCAGACTCCCTGCCAAGCAGGGAGCCCGATGCGGGACTCGATCCCGGGACTCCAGGATCATGACCTGAGCCGAAGGCAGTCACTTAACCAACTGAGCCACCCAGGCGCCCTTTAGTAAAGAAGTTTTAATAACATTCTTCATATGTGACAATACGAACATTTCCTTAGTTCATTTTTTTAAATGCCTTTTCAAAGGTGGAAGGATGTTCTAAGAACTCTGAAGTCAACAAAGTTAAATGAATAAACAGGTTATAAAATTAATAAGCAGAGATGAAGCTAGAACCCAGTTTTCCTAACTCCCAGCCAAATCTGTCCTCTGAAAGTGCTCATTTCCACCTAAATGAGTATCACAGTGAGAACCACACGGTAATCCTAATTCATTATTATTTATGTAACATTTTTCTTCCCCCTTGTTAATAAGCATTTCCTTTCGTTCTGCCCCCTACTGGAACTCAGTTGGTTAATAAGGTCCATTTTCAGAATTTAGATCAGTGAAAAATCTCCAGGGACTATAAAGACTCAAAGTTTCAAAAATGAATGAGAGGAACCAGAAACAATGATAGCCCAGGCACAATGAGCATGCCTACCACCCAGATCTTGATTTCTAAGTACCATTCTCCACTAAAAGGAATCAGTACTCCCTGGAGAAGTGACATAGCTCATTCCACAGCTGGAGTTGGGAAATATAAGATGAACCTGGAAATCTTATTGAGTCAGAAAATAAGGAAACAAAGAATAATGGCGACATGTCCAAAGAACATAAGAGCCAGCTCAGAGGAGCTAACATTGGCCAAATCTAAAAATTTTTGAACATATAAATAATCATAGTAAGGATGCCTCGGTGGCTCAGTCGGTTAAGCTGAGTCTGCCTTCAGCTCAGGTCATGATCCCCAGGTCCTAGAATCAAGTCCCGCATAGGGTTCCTTGCTCAGCTGGTAGCCTGCTTCTCCCTCTGCTCGTGCTCTCTCTCCCTCTCTCTCTGACAAATAAATAAAATCTTTTAAAAAAAATAATCATAGTAAAGAACTATAACCCACAGAAAAAAAATAGAAATCCATGAATTCATATGGTAAAATGCTAACCAATAAACAGAGAAGAAATGATGAAGCTAAAAAAGTCATCAAAAAGATCTATAACTGGTAGGTTGCTAGGAAATATACACTGAAGTATTTGGTGGTAAAGGGTCATATCTCCAACTTACTCTTGAATAATTTTAATGTGTGTGTGTATATCAAAGCAAATAAGGCAAAATGTAAATAGTTAAAACAGAGAGTACATGAGAGTTGCTTGCCATATTTTTGTAACATTTTTATAATTTTGAAATTATATAAAAATTAAAAGTTCCCCCAAAATGAATTCCATTTAGTTCTTTTTGACAAAATATTATTCTGAAACCCACTATCATAAGGAAATGCCATGTGTATTGAAAAAGTAAAAAGAGGGCGCCTGGGTGGCTCAGTTGGTTAAGCGACTGCCTTCGGCTCAGGTCATGATCCTGGAGTCCCTGGATCGAGTCCCGCATCGGGCTCCCTGCTCGGCAGGGAGTCTGCTTCTCCCTCTGACCCTCACCCCTCTCATGTGCTCTCTCTCATTCTCTCTCAAATAAATAAATAAATAAAATCTTAAAAAAAAAAAAAGAAAAAGAGAAAGTAAAAAGAGTGACAGCCTCTGGAGATTTTATTATAAAACCTTACTCCATAATTCTAGTTTTTTACACTATGAAACATTCAAACGTTGTTTCAGAAAATACAAGGAAGATCCCATTTTCAATGACATAAGCAGGAAACAAAGAAAACTGGAGATGACTAGTGTGAAGGCTGGATCCAAGCCCTAGAGTGTGCCTTATGAGACATCAACTCAGAGGGCTACTTTCCTTTGTCTCTTTGGCCACTACCCAAAACCATTCCTAAGGAGGCCTAGGTGAGCATTCAGAACACAGATCCACTTCTTTAATTGAAAATTAAATAGTAGGAAAAGACAGAGAACATTTTGATTACTAAAATCACAAACTCTTTTCAATAAGACATTTTCATTCTTAAATTTAGGATGGAAGGCCAAATGTTTCCTTATTTCAATGTAGATATTATCTAGGAACTGTTCTCAGGTTCCTCTATGTCTAAGGAGGGGGAAACAGTTCCACTTGTCAGATATTCAGGATATACTATGGTACTCACTCATCATAACACTCCAAACCTGAAACTCCTGTATTTGACACAATATGAAATTCTTCAGGAAGCAAAGTATCTGTTAGTTTCTTTGGCTTAAAAAGAAAGAAGGACAAGAATGAAAACATTAGTAAATGAAAAAAGTTGGATTGCATAAATCAACATTCCTATCCCAAAGGGATACTATTTATTAAGAGGTTTGATTATAGAAATAACAGTATTAGTAATATGGACCATAGGACATAATAAAAAACATTTAGCAGAGCACACATTTAAAAAATAACCATGAATTAAAGAACAACCTTGGTTTTAGTATTATTCACACATGTCCCACACATTCAGTAATCCATTGACTCTTTAAAATTCAATAGGAGGGGTGACTGGGTGGTTCAGTTGGTTAAACATCTGCCTTCACCTCAGGTCATGATCTCAGGGTTCTGGGATTGAGCCCAGCATCAGGCTCCCTGCTCAGTGGGGAGCCTGCTTCTCCCTCTCCTTCCCACAAGTGCTCTCTGTTGCTATCTCTGTTTCTCTCTCAAATAAATAAATAAAATCTTTCAAAAAATAAAAATAAAAAATAAATAAAATTCAATAGCAATTTAAAATTTACCTTAGCAACATGCCAAAAATAAGAATTTTACAACTTTGAACTGTAAATTTAAAAAAAAAATCTAGTCTTCTATAATGTATTTCTAGATTAAAGTGGGTAACTGTAGTTTGAAAAATGGCTTAAAATAAGGTATCATAGAAACTTGCCCACTAACTACTTTTTCCTAGAAATAATTAGAAAGTGTTACAGCACAGCATTGCTTTATATTTTTAAGGAAATGATTTTTAAAAATTAGAGGGAGAGGAAATTATTTGTCAAATACTTTACCTTATGAGGCACAATGACACCATCATGTGACTGTAATGAACGTTCCAAACATGGGGGACAAAGCGAACTCTCCCTGGCCTCTCCTTTAACATATTTAACATCGTACAGAAAAGAAATATCCCTAAAAATAAGAAAAATATATTTACAAAATATTCTGTCTGGCTACTGGATAAGAGTGGGTAAGATCCACATACATCTTCTAGTGGATGAAAAGGGGCACAAAACCAGTCTCCTTACTTCATACTTCACTAAGACAGCAGAAGCATTAGACAAGAGCCACCCCCACCCCATTATTCCTCTTCTCCACCTCATATTTCTCCTTCACATCACAAATCCTTTCCCTTCCTTCAACCTCGGGTGAAAATGTATTCTCTTCCCCAGGGTTATTTCCTCCACTGATGTCCTTGATTTCATCTTTACCCACATCCTTTGGGATCTCATTCTACCAATCTACTTTCTGTATATTTCCCCCTCCCTTGGAATATTCCCTTTGATCTATAACTCAAGTCTTTTCCCCTTCTAAAAGTCCTTCCTTGACCATGTTATCAGGATCTATCTATCAACCGATCTCTCACTTTCCGTTCATCAGATTTCTTGAAATTTCCCCGCAATCTAATTTCAATCACTATCTCTCTTCTGAAACCACTCTAGAAATCTGATGACTTTCTACTGCTAAGTCATCAGCTCTTCTCTTCCACTGCTTCCCTGTAATATTTCCCAGGGTTGATCATCTCTTTTTTAAAAACACTATCCTCTCCTCTATCTCTGTGCTACTGGACTCCTGGTTCTTTTGCCTTAACCTCTCCTTCTTGGACTCCTCTGTGACTTCCTGTCTACTAAATGGAAATGCCCTGCAACATTATGGCCTCATCTCTCTGTCTTCTTTCCCTATACTTTCTCTCTTGGCAATACCATGCAAATCTCACCTTATCACATTTGTTATCACATTTTTTACCTCTACATACACTGAATAATCCTCCCTCCATTCTAACTCTCCACCCTCCTATCCTCACTAATTCTGTCAGGAAGTACTACCACTCTATCCATCAAAAGCTCAGCATACATAATTGATTCCTTCCCATCCATTGCCCTAAATTCCCACCCACCACTAACACTTATAAATTTCATAGTCACCCTCATAGCATTCTAGCATTGACCCTGTTGTCTCTTGCCAATGCCAAATCACTAGTCCAAGCTATCCCTACTTTTTACGTGGCTCTCAAGTCTCTCTAGTACATTCTACACACTTCTGCCAATTCACCCTCCTATAGCAGTTATAATCACGCCACTTACTGCACGTGATTTTCACATGTCTCTGCCCCTCCCCCAATTGCAATTGGTATAGCCATTATGATAAATAGTATGGAGCTTCCTCAAAAAAATAAGAAATAGAACTACCATATGACCCAGCAATCCCACTTCTGGGTTTATATCCAAAGGAAATGAATCTGGATCTTGACAAAATATCTGCACTCCCATGTTCAGATTATTCATTATTCACAATAGCCCAGACATGGAAAAAACCTAAATGTCCACTGATGAATGAATGAATAAATAAAGAAAATGTGTATATATAGACAATGGAATGGAATGTTATTCAGCCTTTAAAAATGAAATCCTGCCATTTGTGACAGCATGGATGAAGCTGGAGAACACTGTGCCAAGTGAAATAAGCCAGACAAAGACAAATATTTTATGACTTCATTTATATGTCAGATGAGCGCATGGGGAAAGAGGGGAAAATGAGATGTTAGTCCAAAAGTACAAAGTTTCAGTTATGCAAGATGAATGAGTTCTGGAGATCTAATGTATAGCACGGTGATGATAGTTAGCAATACTGTGTTATATATTTGAAATCTGCTAAGAGAATAGATCTGAAATTTAATCTGCTTACCACATGCATATAAACTCACAGATACACACAAATGATAATTATACAGTTATTTAGCTTGACTGTGATCTTTTTACAATGTATACATTTATGAAAACATCAAGTTGTATACCTTAAATATACACAATTTTTGTGTCAAAGATATACCAATAAAGTTTTTTTTAATCAAGTTTTTTTTTAAAAGTTGCTCTCAGGATGATGGGACATTAGTCACTATCACACCAATAACTGCTAGAGATTGGCCAATATAACTTTGTTAGCTAAAAACAATGAATGAGGGGCGCCTGGGTGGCTCAGCCATTAAGCGTCTGCCTTCAGCTCAGGTCATAATCCCAGGGTCCTGGGATCAAGCCCAGCATCGGGCTCCCTGCTCTGCGGGAAGCCTGCTTCTCCCTCTCCCACTCCCCCTGCTTGTGTTCTCTCTCTCGCTGTGTCTTTCTCCGTCAAATAAATAAATAAAATCTTTTAAAAATAAAACATAAAAACAATGAATGGTTCATATATATACATAGGTACACATACACATCTTTGTAAAGGAAATGTTGGTTTGGTAACTGTCATTCAAATTTTCTCAAAAAGTAACTATAGGACACTTTTATATTTCTATTATTAAAATTATTGGTTATCTTACTTTATTTTTATTTTTTTATCTTTATTTTTAGAGGAAACATTTGGTTTGTTTGTTAATTTTTCATTAAAAAATAATCTGTTTTGGGGCTCCTGGGTGGCTCAGTCATTAGGCGTCTGCCTTCGGCTAGGGTCATGATCCCAGGGTCCTGGGATCAAGTCCCGCATCAGGCTCCCTGCTCAGCCCGGAGCCTGCTTCTCCCTCTGCCTCTGCCCCTCCCCCTGCTTGTGCACTCTTTTTCTCTCTGAGAAATAAATAAATAAAATCTTTTAAAAAATAAAATAAAATAATCTGTTTTATTTCTTATAAAACTCTTGTGGTAAATCACCTGCTTCTACTCCTCTGGAAAATCTATTTTTATTTATAAAAACAAAAAACAAAACAAACTTTGATGCCTACCCATAACACAAAAACTGGTTCCCCCAGATTATCAAACTGAGTTCATACTTCAAATTTTTCTTCAGATCATCACTGGCTATGTTCATAAATAAGCATGTCTTTTATCTGAAGTTGTCAAGGAATGAAGTACTTCAGAGAGATCGATTTTCCAAATAACTGAGGTATGCTTTAAAAAACATTAAGTCTTTCTAAAATGTATTTAAAACGTGGCAGCTTTCTTAAACAGAGTATACATAACACAAAGTAATCTTTTCTTGACAATTCAGGTAATGACTTACGAAGTTAGAAGTGTCCTGAGGACAGTCTGGTTATGTTTCTGAAACCTAAGTCAGTACTGGAATATGGCAGGCCCTGGTGGGTGTTGGGTCCCTCTTTGGGTTGGAAGGGTTGGAAAGCACTTTCCCAGACACCCTTGCAGCTAGGGTTCTGGGTGAGAACTACGTTCCGCAAGTAGATGCACATTTGCAAGATTTCAGGAGTGGAATTGCTGGGTCATCTGGTAAGCCTATGTTTAAATTTTTGAGGAACTGCCAAACTGTTTTCCAAAGAGGCTGCTCCATTTTACATTCCCACCAGCAATGTATGACGCTTCCGATGTCCCTACATCCTCACAAATGCTTGTTATTGTCTGCTTTTCGACTATGGTCATCTTAGTAGGTGTGAAATAATATCTCTTCATGGTTTAATTTGCATTTCCTTACGGCTAATGATGTTGAGCAGCTTTTCATGTGCATATTGGCCATTTTTACCTTCTTTGGACTCTTGAACTCTTGTGGCAACCTTGCAGGTAGTAGCCTGCATGGTAGGTTAATTCCACCCTGTTCTGAGAGTTATTCCCAAAAGTATTGCTTCATATTTTCTCCTTTAGCTCTCCTGGCAATTTTGTAAATACTCAATTTACTGTTTAAAATAGGTTTTATTGGGGCTCCTGGGTGGCTCAGTTGTTAAGCGTCTGCCTTCAGCTCAGGTCATGATCCCAGGGTCCTGGGATTGAGCCCCGCATCGGGCTCCCTGCTCAGCAGGAAGCCTGCCTCTCCCTCTCCCACTCCCCCTGCTTGCGTTCCCTCTCTCGCTGTGTCTCTGTCAAATAAATAAATAAAATCTTTAAAAAATAATAATAAATAAAATAGGTTTTATTTTCTGCACTGAACTCTGACTGATAAAGCTGTTGAAAAATATTACTCAGAGGCTATTTGCTGGGATGTTTTATATTTTACTGCTGTGCTCTAAATATTTAAGGTTGCTAGACATAGTAGTATTTATTATACTCTTAACCTAACTCTATAACCTCTTGTTATAAATACTATTAGTTATACATACATGTGTTAATCTTCTACTGGTGCCATAAAAATTACCACAACTTTAGCAGCTTAAGCAACACAAATTTATTATGTTATAGTTCTCTAAGTCAGAAGTCCAACACAGGTCTCACAGACTAAAATCAAGGTGTCGACAAGGCTGTATTCCTTTCTGGATGCTCTAAGGGAAGATCCATTTCTGTGCCCATTGGAGTTGTTAACAGAACTCAATTCCTTGCAGTTCTAGGACTGAGATCCCTGTTTCCTTGATGGTTGCCAGCTGAGGGCCATACCCAGCTTCTAGAGGCCAACAGTAGTTCTTAGCTTGTGTCCTCCCTTCCTCCATCTTCAAAGCCAGCAAGTGTAGGCTGAATTCCTTCTCTCTCATACTTCCACTGTGTCCTCCTCCTTCTCTGACCTGTTCAACTTCCTTCTTTTTCCACTTCAAAGACTCAGGCAATTAGGTTGGGCCCATCCCGAGAATCCAAGTTAATCTCACCATCTCATGGTCCTTAACCTTAATCACATCTGCAAAGTCTCTTTGGTTACGTAAGGTATGTATTCAAGTTCTGAGGTACACCAAGAACATTTTGCGGGGAGGCTATTATCCTGCTTACCACAATGCAGATCTTCACAGTTTAAAAATTCCAAGTGAGAAGTCATTTGACATTAAAACTTTAATACTGGGTTATTCCTGCATTCAGATATAGCTTATTATTTTTTCAAAGTACTTCAAACATTTCATAACTACTAATTATAACTAGTGATAATTATAACCATAATCTGAAGGTATAAAATAAAATACGATACTTTGACACCAAAGCCCCAGGACACAAAAGGTAATAGCCCAAGTTCCTGCCACCTTTTCTAGCACTGAGACATACCTGAGTAATAACAGCTTTTATTTATTTATTTATTTATTTATTTATTTATTTATTATAAAGATTTTATTTATTTATTTGAGAGAGAGAGAATGAGAGACAGAGAGCACGAGAGGGAGGAGGGTCAGAGGGAGAAGCAGACTCCCCGCCGAGCAGGGAGCCCGATGCGGGACTCGATCCCGGGACTCCAGGATCATGACCTGAGCCGAAGGCAGTCGCTTAACCAACTGAGCCACCCAGGCGCCCAATAACAGCTTATATTTAAATAGCACTGTACAGGGGCATCTAGCTGGTCAGTCAGTGGAGCACGTGCCTCTTGATCTCAGGGTCGTGAGTTCGAGCCCCATGATGGGTGTAGAGCTTACATACATACATACATACATACATACAAAGCACTGCCCATTATTTCCTTTAGAATATGTGTTTTACAATATCTCCAGGAGGTCCACAAAATGGAGCAAGTCTATTATTCCCTTTTTACAAATGAGAAAATAGAACTCAGAAAGACTAAATAACCTACCCATGTATTAATATGCTTATTATTACATATTAATGTGTCATTAATGTGTCATAATATTACATATTATTTCTTTCAGATGAAGTGATATCTCATGAGGGGCATGCAACTGATAAATGGACTACACATAGAAAATGAGCTGGTCACAATCTTCACAGGGAAACCCAGGACATTCATAATATTTTTAGGAATGACATAAAAACAACAAATAGTATTTGCTGATTTGATCGAAAGGTGAAGCGTTCACTTTGAGAAAAACCAAGGAGTAAGCACTTGCTTTTCAAGGTTTTCATGAAGCTATGTTACCTCACTCTTCTTAAATGTACAGATGAAAGAGGCACTATGAGACACTCTGCCTCTGGGATCTTGTCCTTTTTACTAGGGTACAACAAGGGACAGAAGAGTAAGTGGACAAGGACACAAAGGCATGCATAAAGCAAATCTTAACAAAGCAAAAGCCAGTAGAGTTAATAATCCTACACACAGAAGGGTGGTCTTGTGTCTTCTTCAGATTGTTTTCTGATTCATCAAAGATACTGTAAGCTTCAAATTTAAAATCTTTGATTCTATGATTTTTTCAACTGTGCCCCTCCCAAAGAAATGAGAAAAAATGAGAAAACAACTCTATTCATCGGCATCTACCCTACCATCTGCCTTCTTTACCTTCCAGCACCAGTTAAGGAAACAGGATGGTCAATCAGGTATTTGAACTTATTTCTTCTGACAGGGTGATACCAGACTTGGTCAGCCGGACGCAGAAGTGTACCCTAAGAAAAAGCAAATACATGAATATACAGCAGAGGGAGCTCTAGTCAAATGAAATCTGTTAATCCTTTGGAATGTTTACATTAAAGGCATTTGGATAGTCTATGGAAAAAAGAGAGAGCAGAATGCTTAATCAATACAATGGAGAAAAACTGAAACTGGGACAATTCAAAAGTGAAAGAAAAATATCAAGACTGACAGTAGTAATAATGATCACTTAGGTAAATCACATTTTAAAAAGCATTTCCTTGGAAACACTGTTGCAAATTATTTTAGTTTTCATTCTTGGAAATGAATTTTAAAGTACTTTGAAAGACAATCAGGAACATATGACACTGGGACGCCTGGGTGGCTCAGTCGTTAAGCATCTGCCTTCAGCTCAGGTCATGATCCCAGGGTCCTGGGATCGAGTCCCGCATTAGGCTTCTTGCTGGGCAGGGAAACTGCTTCTCTCTCTGCCTGCCACTCCCCCTGCTTGTGCTTGCTCTCTCTTTCTGACAAATAAATAAATAAAATCTTAAAAAAAAAAAAAAAGGAATATATAACATTAAAAAAGAAACAAGCCCAAAATGAAGTCACTTGTGCTAAGCCTCACATCAGCAAACCAACACTTAACACCTTACCTAATGGCAGTTGTGGCATCTCCCAAGAGTGGCATTTTAAGCCAATCAGCTGGAAGTTCCTGATCAGCACTAGAGAGGTAATCAGCCTGATAGGCTCCCACCCTTCCCCAGAAGATGACCTTGCCCAAAATAACCCTTTCTTCTGTTTATGATTTCCTTGTCCCTGCCCCTTTCCGCCAAAAACAGCCCTCTATTTTGTATAGCTTCTCAGAATTCCTTTCCACTTCCTATATGGGATGCTGCCTGACTCATGAATTGTTGAATAAAGCCACTTAGAGCCTCAAATTTACTCAGTTGAATTTTGGTTTTTACAAGAACATGCTCAATAAATACCTAATGAACTGGATACCAAAAAGACATATGTTCCCCAGTTCTTCGTATAGGTATATACTCACCTTTGGGGTTTTAGTTTTCTTAGGGGGCAGTAAGTTTTCAGGACAAGGACCAGCATTGGCTGCATAGGTCAGAGAAAGAAGAACTTCCTCAGGGATGAACTCATTCTGAAGGGATGTAGGAAGGGGTTTTGAACGATCCACCATATTTTTTTTCTCCTTTAGTTCAGGAAGTACTAAGAAAGTAACAGGAAAGAAAAACTTGCTGCAGTTTTTTGTAGTTAGTTGGAAATTCCCAGGCTGCTTCATCAATACTACCTGTATATTTCTAACAGAGCAAACACTGTTTCTGGTTGCCAAGAATAGTTAACAGTACTGAACATCATCTCGTCAAGAAAAAAATGCTCATATTGCCTGCCCTCCTCACACTTTTAACACACACAGTTTCAAAAACTGAGGCACAAAGATGAACCTCCATTATTCCAAATTCAAAGCTGAAAATTAAACTCACATCACCTGCTCAATTAAGTGGAACAGACTTAAAATGACTATTTTCCCTTTGATGTGAAAAGGACAAAAGAAAGTTCCCCTCACAACTGTCAAATTATTTAGTAATTATTTCTATGTAAATCCAAAGGTGAGGATAACTGCATTAATTGGGGCATTTTTAGAGTGGAAGGGATCTGAGTTGGGTTTAAGAGGAAAAGCAGAATTAGGATTGTTGGAAATGAAGAGTGGAATAATCTGAGCAAACCGGCAGAGTCAGAACTGTACCAAGAGTGTTCTATTCAGCCTGAGTAGGGCGGAGGAGTTGTAAAGACAGGGAATGGGAACAAATAGGTAAAGGCCTCCTGTGAAATCAGCCAAGGAGAGTGGGGTTGTGGCTCTTACAGTACTCTCCACTAATCTACGCCCCTCACAAAGTATGGCTTATGTTAATGATATATTTTTGGAATGTTGGTGAGGGGCGTAGATTAGTGGCTTAACAAACTCAACTTTGTTTACATTTCCTTATGCCTCTGTTTCCCACATCACTCATGGAAGAGAGGGTGATGTTAGGGCTCCAGAAAATTGAATTATGGGTCTCTGAAAGTTAGGCTATTGATAAGAATGCTTTTTCCTTGTAAATCACTAAGACATTGGAAAACTGATGGAGACTCATGTCTCGCGGGACTGTGATCTCTATTAGTTAACCGTTTGTTTTTCCGTTCCCTTGGCTTTAGGACAGCCAGCAGTACCTAAGGAATGTCACACACATCCCACCCAGGAGGGGGGCTGGGAGGATTGTGGGCTGTCAGCTTGTGCTTTGCCCTCAGCTTGCTTTCTGCTCCCTCATCATTAATTTCTATAAGGAGGGATCATGCCTTCCTTGTTCACCAGCAAAACTTCTGAAGTTCACATTACCAAATCTCTTTATCTCTTGAATATTTGAAATGGAGTTAAATATCACAAGAAATAGGAAGAAAAAAAAAGCTGGGTGGGGCTTTAGCACAATCTCTAAAAAAAAAAAAGATGAAGGTGTTGGAGGGAGTTTTGACATAATGGGAGTAGGGATGAGTCTAGCTGATTCTTATTCTATGCAGATCTGCAGTTATCTCTAGATGAATGAAAATCTTAAGGGAATTCTTGTCATTTAGATATATTGTTAAAACCTGATACAAACTGGTTCCTTACAGTCAGAGCCCAGGTACCAAAAAAAGTAGTTTCATGCAACTACTGGAACTTAAAATAGGGTGAATTTAAAACTATAAAACTAGGGGTGCCTGGGTGCTTCAGTCTGCTGAGCGTATGACTCCTGATTTGGGCTCAGGTCATGATTTCAGGGTGGCGAGATCCAGCCATCCCTTGCACCCTGCACTTAGCAGGGGGGTAATGCTTGCGTATTCTCCCTCTCCTTCTGCCGCTCCCCCCACTTTTTCTCCCTCTCTAAAATAAATAAATAAATCTCTAAAAAGAAGTTTTAAAACAATATAAAACTCATCATCATTTGAAAAAAATTAGTCTTCAGGTGGAGTAGTGAGACAGGACTCTGACTCAAAAGTACTATAAAAGGAATGGCTTTTGATTTTATTGAAACAAGTGTATTAGAAAAACGAAACTAATTAAGGTATCCTGAAGTCTCAGACTCAGGGGAACGGGGGAAGGGGCTGTGAGTTCCATCCACGGCCGTGACTACTTGTGTCTGCGGGATCCTTGAAGAACTTTACCTGTCTCCTCCTTGGATGCAGAGACTCTTAATTTCTTGCCCTCAGGTGTTGACAAGGAGGTCAGCAATGTGGAGGGCGTTTTCGGAAGAGACATAACAGTCAAGGCCTCCTACCACTCGCTTTAGTAATTTGAAATATCGCTCCAGAAAGCTATCTTAGAAACAAACCAGCGGCGTACTGGGGTCTGGCCGTGCCGCCACACTGTCCTGCAGGCAAAAAAGAGAGAGAGATCCATTTGGGGCTTATGTTAGGATCAGAGTTTATAATCCATCTAGCTTCGGTTTTCCTTCTTTGGGGAGCCTTCTGTGTTCTCTCAGGTCACCTGACGCGACTGAGAAGCCTGCTCGGGCCCCCCACCGACCGCCGGCCCCACCCGGAGGGGGTCCCCGGCTCCAGACGGGGAGCTCGGGGCCGAGGCCTCGCCCGCACGCAGCGCCCTGGGGCACAGCAGCTCCGCGGAGTCGGGGCAGGGCAGCGTGGGCGCCGGTCCGCCTCAGAAGTGATGGGAAACAGACACAACTGCTACCGGTAAATTGTGTTTCCCGCCAGCAGCTGGTCGCCTCGCCCTTTTCCGGAGCGCCTGCGTGTCGTCATGGAAACCCAGGACCCCGAGCTTTGGCCGCCCTCACTGGGGGCTGTCTTCAGCGGTGCCGGCGGAGGAGGGCGACTGCTAAAGACTCCCAACACCCAGGGATGCGGTGGTTTTTCACCACTGCATAGGTTCAGCAGCAATAGAGAACAAACATACTTAATCGGGCCGTTCTCACAGAGTGCGCAAGGGACTCGATCCCGGCGCTTCCGCCCGCAGGTCGTCGCCAGTGCGCAGGCGCCAGCGGTGGCCGGGGTCGCTCTTCCGCCCCCGCGGACGACCTTCGCGGCACCCGGCGCCAGATTGGAGCCCGCATCCCGGAAGAGATTTGTTTTTCCATTACTCTCTCCCACTTTTTTGTTATTTTTCCTATTTTTCTAAAAGCCAAATCCAAGGCGAAATTAGGTAACCAAAAGCTCTGGGTTCCCATCTGTTCAGGCTTCCTTGCGGATGCTGCCCCTGCCCTTGACCTCTTGGTTAAGTCTCCTTGGGCACTTACGCACAACCCCCACCCCACCCAGCACGTTCAAGGCCTTCTTAGGTCGAGGATTTTTTTTCGCTGGAGGCAGGGAAGGAGATTGCGCTTTAGGCGGAGTCAACCCAAGAAAAATTGTTGGGGCTTCCCAGAAACCTGTTCTCAGGGAAGAATGGGATAAACAAATTGGCAAGGAAGAGCTGAAACCCCGCCCCTTGCCGCCACCAGGGATCATTTTCTGTTAATATGGAGCCTTGGGGCGCCTGGGTGGTTCAGTCGTCTTAAGTGTCTGCTTTGGGCTCAGGTCATGATCTCAGGGTCCTGGGATCCAGCCCCACATCGGGATCCCTGCTCAGGGAGAGCCTGCTTCTTACCCCTGCTCGCGCTCACTCACTCTACACTTGTTAGAGCCCTAGCAATATTATGAACAAATTCCCTAATACCGCTCACTCCCTTAAAAAAAAAAAAAAAAGATGAAACCTTAATGCCAAATAGTACGAGTGGAATCCCAGTGTCTAGATGACTCTGGTCTGGCAAATAAATTTTAGAAGGGAAGATAACTTGTTCAACCGTCCTACTCCTTAGGACCAAGCACAGTGCCTGGCCCAAACTACCTGGTGTTTGAAAATCAACTGGACAGTTCTGCTCCTGTGCTGATGGATTCGGTCTCTGGTTTCTGATTTTCAGGATAATAGCAATGATAATAGCAACGAAAAAATAGGAGCGAAGTGTTAAAAATAAAAACACAAAATCTTGTGTGCCTGGGTGGCTCATTCGGTTAAGTATCTGGCTCTTGGGTTTCAGCTCAGGCCATGATCTCATGGGTGGTGGGAGCTCTGCAATGTGGGGGAGGGAGTTCAGCTTGAAGATTCACTCCCTGTCCCTCCCCTTCCCCCTCACGCTCTCTGTAAACACACACACACACACACACACACAGTCTCTATGGAGGTCAACTTGAAGATTCACTCCCTGTCCCTCCCTTTCCCCCTCACGCTCTCTGTAAACACACACACACACACACACACACAGTCTCTATGGAGGTCAGCTTGAAGATTTGCTCCCTGTCCCTCCCCTTCCCCCTCATGCTCTCTGTAAACACACACACACACACACACACACAGTCTCTATGGCCCATTCTAATTCTCCTAGTCAAACACCCTGGCTAGCTGAGCATTCTAGCCTTTAGCCCTATACCATCACTCTAATTTTTTTCTAGATTTTCCAAGAATCTACAGAGACAACACTCACATAGCACACATGTAGTTCCCTCTAAGGACTGGCAATGATCAAACAGGTGAAAGGCAAAAGCAATGCACAAGTAGGTGGAAGGTAACTTTCCTCCAGTTTATTTGCCTTCTGCCTTCCTCAATGGTGGTGTGACTCTACATTCTAGTTTGGAACCATAACCAGAAGACTGAACTTCAGAGATCTTAAAACTCCAGCGTTCAGCTTACAGTTTATTAAGCCTTTGGGTACTGGAAAACAAGGTAACTGATCTTTCATATTCTTAACCTAGTTTAAAAATAGTATCTAGGGGACTGATAGAAGAGATGAAAAGTGAACAGATTCAAGAGACACATAGAAAGTAAAATCTATAGAATTTGGTAAGTGATTGGATCTGTGGTATGAAGAAAAAGACATCAAAGGTTACTTCTCATTTTCTATCCTGTGCAATGGTGTGATTACACATACCGTTTCCTGAGTAAAGGTCTGTGTTAAAGTTGTAGAAGTATATGAAGTAAATGCCCAAAGACAGATGAACACTTAAGAATATTACACTAAGACCATAGCTATTGAAGAATACAGTTGCTACTCTTGGGAAACTCCTCGTAATTTTGTTTTGTTTTGTTTTGTTTTTAAAGATTTTATTTATTTGACACAGCGAAAGAGACAGAGAGCAAGCACAAGCAGGGGGAACAGCAGGCAGGGGAGAAGCAGGCTCCCTGCTGAGCAAGGAGCCCGAAGCAGGCCTCGATCCCAGGACCCCGGGATCATGACCTGAGGCGAAGGCAGCCACTTAACTGAACTGAGCCACCCAGGCACCCCTCTCATAATTTTGATTGATAGCAAGGGAACCCTAAAGTGGAGAGAGGTAAAGTATTATTGAGGTCTTTGATGGAAAATATCACAGAAAAATCCAAGATGAGCAGGTAATAATTTTCCTAAATGGAACACATCATGATAGTAAAAATGTCAGCCATAGTTATAATAAACAGAGCTAAATGCGCTTATTGGCATTGACTAAATTCTTTGGCAGCTTAACAAATACCCAACTCAGCAGTAGGGTCCTCTGGCTTCAAGTGGAATCTCAGAAGAGATTCAGTTATTGTGATCACCAAACATGCCCTGAGCTGGGGAAAAAAACAAACAGTAGGAGCGTGTTTGCACCAACCTTTTAACAATTCATTTTCTTTTTTTTTTTTTTTTTTTTTTTTTTGAGAGGGACAACAAGCAGGGAGAGGGGCAGAGGCAGAGAATCTTAAGCAGGATCCAAGCTCAGCGCAGAGCCCTAGGTGGGGCTCGATCTCATGGCCCTGAGCCAAAATCAGGGATGCTTAAGTAACTGAGGAACCCAGGCACCCCTTACCGATTCAGTTTCTAAGTGTGTGGGCAGGGATTACACACTCATTTGTGGGCACTTACAAATAGCATGCATAGTTTCCTGAAGGAGTCTGACTGGGGAAAAGACCAGTAATTGTACTTAGTGTAGCTAAAGATTGAAGGTATCAAGTAAGTGTTGTGAAGGAGACACTGAGAAAGAAATCTAGGCACTGCCGAGCCAAGTGCCTCTCAGGGGAAGAGTAACTTCTAGTGTTGCTTCCACAGGACATTCCTAAAACCGAAATGATGCCTCAGCTTGTCTCAGTTATGTCATTATTCAGTTAAGTACCTTCCGATTCCACATAGGTGTGCCGACAGGAAGAAATATGCTTTTGGTTTTTGTTCACAAGCATATCTTCAGTGCACAGCACAGTATCTGGAACATGGTGTTGATGCAGTCTAGAAGAAATCCATCTTTCTCATCATACCATAAATTAGGCTTCTACGGAGCAAATTCAGTCAGCAACCGTGCCAACCTGATTTCTTATGGTATATTTACCAACCCGTGTGATTTCTCATGGTATAGTTACAAACCGGTATTCCAGTGACCTTCGTTCATTGGAGTCCAGATGCAAGCTGAGCCTAAAAGGTCAGGACCCTCAACTTCAGTAAATTCAAGGAAAACTTCCACACCATGCTTTTGCCCCTGGTGCCAAAGAATACTCACTTGGTCCAAGAAACAGGAAGGGGCCCATCTAATTTCTGAAGGGACTTCCCCCTTCCCACTCCTCTGGCCCTGCAGAGGCAGGTGGCTAGAGCCAGAGCATGGAAGATTAGAGGACTTCTTAGCTGTTAGTATGATGATGCTTCTATGGAAAGAATGTTGTGATGTCAAATCCTACTCATAATGGGTTCCTATTACGAGGAGATTCTTTAGAGGAAGGAAAGCAATGAATTTTGCTTCAAAATCAGTTTCCCCAAGTCTTGTCTGAAAAAGCACACTTCTCAACCAACAGATTTGCCACCTCTCATTAGAAGACTAAGTCCATATCTACCCATTTAGGGGGAGGAGGTGGGTACATTTTGAGAAATAGCCATTCACATGTTTTAAGAGGCCAACTGCAAAAGGAATCAAACAACAAATAATGACCACAATAAAGAGAGGAGGCTCAAAGTGTCAGTGTCACAACTGGGCTCTATCACTTATTAATTTGTAATCTTTAACATGGCTCCCCCTCCATCATTCTGGATAAGAAAGTTATTTGCCGGGCGCCTGGGTGGCTCAGTTGGTTGGGCGACTGCCTTCGGCTCAGGTCATGATCCTGGAGCCCCGGGATCGAGTCCCACGTCGGGCTCCCTGCTCAGTGGGGAGTCTGCCTCTCCCTCTCTCGTGCTCTCTCTCTCTCATTCTCTCTCTCAAATAAATAAATAAAAATTTTTTAAAAACTTAAAAAAAAAAAAAGTTATTTGCCTTCTCTTTGGCTATACTCAGCACATAAAGCTGCTGGACATTAAGATGAAAAACATCTGGGGCTCCTGGGTGGCTCAGTTGGTTAGGCATCTGCCTTTGGCTCAGGTCATGATGGGAATGAGCCCCACATCAGGCTCCCTGCTCAGCGGGGAGCCTGCTTCTCCCTATGCCCCTCACCCTGCTAGTGCTCTCTCTCTTGCTCTCAAATTAAATCTTTTAAAAATTAAAAGTGAAAAAATCTGTAATTATGAAATATGTAGATATTGAATAAACTTGATTACTTTTTTTTTTTTAAAGATTTTATTTATTTATTTGAGAGAGAGAATGAGATAGAGCATGAGAGGGGGGAGGGTCAGAGGGAGAAGCAGACTCCCTGCTGAGCAGGGAGCCTGATGTGGGACTCGATCCCGGGACTCCAGGATCACGACCTGAGCCGAAGGCAGTCGCTTAACCAACTGAGCCACCCAGGCGCCCTAAACTTGATTACTTTTAAAAACAACAGAGACTAGGCTTTTTCCAAATATATTTATTTACCACATTCTTCACATATGCAACACTTTGCCATTTTGTATGTAGATTTTAAGTTAACGCTAAGACAATGCATACTGAACAAAGTGATAGTACCAGTGATTAGATAAACAGGGCAGGGCATGGGGGGGGCAGGTCATGAACAGAAATTCTGGAAAAGAGCAAACACAACTGAATTAGAAAAGAAATCTTTAATTATAGAGAAACTTTTAAAACCACCTCAGATGTCCATGCCCCTCTGCTGCACTCAGAACACAATGGATTTAAAGCACAAGCTGGTTGAGTGTGTAGACACAGGAAGGAAGCAGCCACACGGGCCCAAATGGTGAAGCCATGGCTGGAGAGGGAGCATTCTTCTCACCCAAGAACTGGCACATTTGCACACGGGAATTCAAACTGTATCCCTAAGTGACTGCATGCACAAACTGCCTCGTGTCTCAGAGTTAGTTAGAACCATGAGAAAGCACACCTACCACTTCACTAAAACAAACGAACCCCACAGCACAGGGGATAACCTGCTAGCTTAAAGGTTAGCACTCCCTTGGGAGTGCTAGTAGAAAGAAGGAAGCATTTAGAAAAAAATACAGAAGAGGCAGCTTTCGTTTTTGGTTTTTTTTTTAAACTATCACTTCTGAGATTAACCCTTTTTCTCAAATCCAAATTAGCTATTAAAAAGTCTTTATGCGGGGCACCTGGGTGGCTCAGTCGTTAAGCGTCTGCCTTCGGCTCAGGTCATGATCTCAGGGTCCTGGGATCGAGCCCTGCATTGGGAAGCCTGCTTCTCCCTCTCCCACTCCCGCTGCTTGTGTTCCCTCTCTCGCTGTGTCTCTCTCTGTCAAAATCTTAAAAAAAAAAAAAAGTCTTTATGCTTTACAGAAAAAAAGTGGGAACTTTATTAAAAGGACTTCGTAGATTATATAGATTGGACAGCTTTCCAGTTTTATCATTACTGCTGTTCAAGCAGGGCATTAAATTTAGGGTGAGAAAGAGCATGGGCGGACCAAGCAAGAAGGACTCCATTCTCCCCATTTCAACCAGAGTTGAAGCCATGTTTTACCTCCTTTATAAACAGGGTTCCAAAATTCTACTACCTGATAGAAACTTTAGTGATGTTAGAAACTACTCAAATGCTTATATAAGCTTTACTAGTAATACTCATTTTATTCTTCAGAACCTTTACGTCGCAGTTTCTTCAATTTCTGAGCCATAAACATAAAGCTTACAGCTTAAGTAAAACGGTGACCAAGACAGATCCTTCTCCGATGGTATATATGCACACATATATAAACTGTATTATAAATCTATGTAAGTCACATAAAATTTTGCACAAGGTTAGTAAGCAAGTCCATTACACGTTATTAACAAAAGTATGAACTATCTTCCCATTAAGACTATAAGCATTGTTTATACTGGCAAAATTAGGGCCTCATTAGTTTCCTTCCTCTTCATAAATTCTAAAATTTAACTATAAAGTATACACACTAGTTCTAACACTTAAATACCTAGGCAAAGGTAGACATGCTTTTCTTTTAGAAGCCTACCCTTATGCTAAACAGATAAATATGAAAGTAATTTTGGAGGTGGAAACATAAGGGCCTTTAATAATCTTGTTAAATTCTAGTTAGTTCCATTATGGGAGTGTTTATTATATCAGTCCAGGTACGATGGGCATTCACATCATCGCGAGTCTATTTAAAAGCACATATTCTCAGGACTGTGCATTTGAAACATTCACATTTTTAAAAAATTCCAATGAGATAGTAAGGATTCAGGTTTAGAATTTATGGACGATAAGAAGATAATGAGGCCCTTTTCCTGCCAGGGCCAGCGTTTTCTAACAACCCTTTGAGGTAGCTATTGCCCCCATTTTACAGATGAGTAAAACTGTGGCTCTGATAAACAAAGCAACTGTGCCCATTGTCACACTGCTAGTAAGGATGGGGCCATCTTAAACATCTGTGCATGCTTTTTTGCTGCACCAGTGGTTTTCCGACTGGGTATTTGGGGATAGGAGAAAATGGGTGTCCCAAACAACTGGACTCCAGCCCTGCGTCCCAATCTCAACCAGAAGCAGCTATAGTTTACCTGTTTTGCATGCTGGGCTTAAGTGTAACTATCTTTTTTTATGGTTTCATAACTAAAACATACTCATCAGGCAAACCCGGTTACTACAGTTGTGTTAGTTTACGTTCATTATTTTTCCCCATACAAAATAATGAACTTTACTCAAAATTACTCATGACCACAGAAAACAAACATCTTTTTGCATAAAAGACCTCAACAATTCATAAATTAGATCTTTTTAGGCTACATAACCCACATGACCAACCTTTTAAATACATAATGTTCTATTAGGCTTTCTATAAAGAATTCAGGATTCCATTTTTCATGCCAAGTATAATTTTAAAATTCAATGAAAACTGCCTACACTAAATCAATGACTTGTACAATATGATCTGTGTTTGCAATTATAGAGTATTTACTGTACCTTCTTCACCTGCCAATGTCACCCACTCTTACCCTACAACTAAAAGGAAAAAGCATTTCCCCCACTCCTCACGCTTCCAAAAGCAAAAAGTAGTTACTGAAAGGTTAAAAGCAACCTGAATTTTCTAATTAAATTCTAATGTAAAGCAAGCAACTTCACTTATGCAATTTTAGGAGATTAATCCACCAAAAAAAACCAAACAGCTCCATTTTCCTTCACTATCCAGGACTGAGAATGAAACCATCTAACAGATTTAAAACAAAGTCTGAGATATAGCTGTTGTCTTAGAGAAAACACCCACAATAATGGCTACTATCATTAATACTTCTTACAGGAAAGAAGTTTTAAACTCTTTTCTTTTCAGAAGGAAAAAAAGTATCATCCTGTAACTAATTTTCACCCCTATTAGCAAAAGAGGGGAAAAAAATCAATAAATCTTCCTGAAACACATCAGAAGTTTTAATTTATTTAGGAGTATAGGTAGTGGTTTAAATAAAACGATTTTTGCTAAGAGCGGCTAGCACTAAGACCATGGCTATCAAACTAGTTTGTCACAGAAAGTAGCTATTCCTTTAAGTGTTTGTGAAAACTTCTTAGGGCAGTCTTATCATTCTAAAGAGTCCTTAGTTTTAAACATTTTTTGTTGTCACCTCAAGGTCTTGGGCAGGGGGAAAAAAAAAAACACTAATAAAGGGAAGATGAGAGCTAAAACAAACAAAAAAACTCACCAGCCTTCATCAGTCCTACAAATATTCAGAATCAATACAAAGCAACAAAATCAATGAGCAATGAGAACCTAACATTTACAGCACTTAACAGAAATACAGATCAAAGAGTTCCATTCTCTCCCTTCAGTTGAGACTTATTCATGAAACAGTCTTAGACCAATCTGGTTTTCTTAACTCCCTCATTATATTTAAAATGTAGTCCCATAAATTCAAGTGATTGAGCATTCTGATTTTTAATAAAAATACCAGAGATTACAAGATGTACAAAAGCAGTCTCGTTTGGAGGTTATGACTCCATCACAATTACACCACCACTGTCCAGACAATTACTGCTGGGACCATGTGAATTACTTTTTAAGAAATGACCTCGTGTCACATGCACTTCTGTCTGTCCAAGTTGGATTTTATATTTGAAAATTGCCTAAACTCATCTGGATCAAAGGTACTGATGAAAGAAAATGGGTACTTGTGGTACAAATTAAGTTGTGACTACTAAGAAACTCAATTCTCCTCCTTGTGACACTCAAACTGACTTTAAAACAATTCTAAAAAGATGTCCCAAAACTTTTTGGATGGAAGTAGGGCTATTAGAATACCAACAAAGCTTCTCAAGTTGGCTACTCCAAATGAAAATCACTTTTTGGGTAATTCTTAAGTCTCACTTCTCTGGGTGGAAAATTCAACTCCACGGTCTCTGATAGGCCATTCAATGCTCCATCTTTACAAACATAATCACACCTCACACACACAAACAAAATAATTCCTGCACACCACACTGTATTAGCAATGGGCATCTTATAACATGGAAACATCACATATAGAGTACATTTTCTTGAAAATGATCACATATTAATTTGTTTCACCTAACGTATAATACCATTAAAAGTGTAATAATTGAGCAGTGCAGAAGCCAGCTTCTGGATCTTTAAAAATCACTTTAATATTAATGGAGGTGATTAATACTTATATGTTACAGACTTACTAGCCTGCCAACTATTTCAAGTCAGTATTTATTAAACAATAAGTTTACCAAAGGGTACTTCTAAATAACTTCTCAAAAGTTATTAAAGTTTAAACAACAAAAAAAAGTTATCCTCCACATAAGTTCCACGATAAAATAATTTAAACATACGATTGGCTCAGCAAGTCTTTTTTAAAAATTACTTTGGAAGTTGTAAAAGGAAATGTCTTTTCTTTGTCCTGTGCCACTTCTTTCTGTTCCCTCACTATGTAAGATTTCGGATGTAAACTCAAGAATTCAAGGTGAAAGGTATAATCTTGCTTCACAAAAATCATGATCTACACTTTATAGAGAAAACAAGGTAAAAATTGAGTAGAACTGAACTTCTTTCCAAAAAAAAATACCATTAGGATGTATAACGAGATTATCTCTGGAAATGAGAGATTTTCGCTCTACTAGAGATAACAAAATGTTCCACATTATTTTCTTTTCTTTCCTAAGTACATAGTTAATTAGCATACATTCCAACAGTGTGCCTGAAAAAAATTTCTAAGCCTGAAATATTTAAATGCTTTCTTCATAAGTGTTTTGGCTAAGTCAGTGGCCAAGGAAACATGCTGTTTAGTCACAACGTTTAGATGGGAGTCAAAAAACAAAAACCCAGCAAAAATCTGTCATTATGTCAGCTATGTAAGTCTCCCTTCTCCCAAAAAGGTAAAGAAAAAAAAAAAAAGTACTGCTTTAAGTGCACACGATTCCAGTAAACTTGCAACATCTCAGCTGACCGAGGAATGGAGCAAGCCATCTGTAAAGCGCAGAGTGATCCAAATACCACAGATAACTTCAGTAACAGCTGGAAACAGATGCTGGCCCCAGATCAGGCAGAATACCCATCTTCAGTGTCAAGGAATGAAACAAAGTTCAAGCTTCTAAAACACGTAACGACAAGTCCAGGACCGTGGCCTGATATAATCCAGAAATGTGGGCTTCAATGGGGAAAGAAAAATGGAAGAGTAGTTTATTTGCACGCACGTATGCACAAGGTCGTCAGGGTAGACAGGGGGTGTTAATTTTATAAACTGCACACCTCTACAATGCCTCCCAGCATGTCGGTAACCTTTAAGCTATAAGCAGCTTGCTAATTCAAAAGATGTTCATTATTTTTATCTAGAACACAGATTATAGTGATTTAGAAGTTTTACACAAAGCTTTCGAAGTCCAGTAAACTCTATACAATTACACGGACTTCTGACCAAATTCCAAACAGGCACTACTTCTCTTTTGGATCTTGCATTTTATTTTAGCACAGACCTACTGTTAGTGGCCTAACATCTAAATTGTAGTAGGGTAAAAGGATGATAAAATATATATACAAACTATAATACAAGGTTTAGAATTACTAAATTATCTAAATGAGAACAGATGAAGCACTATGAAAGTTCAGCAATAGGAAAAAACTGGAGCAAGAATCTGAAAAAGGTGGGGCGCCTGGGTGGCTCAGTCGTTAAGCGTCTGTCTTCGGCTCAGGTCATGATCCCAGGGTCCTGGGATGGAGCCCCGCATCGGGCTCCCTGCTCAGCCTGAAGCCTGCTTCTCCCTCTCCCACTCCCCCTGCTTGTGTTCCCTCTCTCGCTGTGTCTCTCTCTGTCAAATAAATAAATAAAATCTTAAAAAAAAAAAAAAAAAGAATCTGAAAAAGCTGGAAGATGTTGCATCGAAAGTGGATTTTGAGAAAATAAAATCTGACAGGTGGAATCCGAGTGCAGAGAGCACCATAACCAGAGGCAGACCAAAGCAGCTAGCTCAGATGCACATAGAGGAAATAAGGAGGGGGCATTAGGGCAACATAAGAAAAACAGGATAGACAGTAGGAGAAGATTTGGGAGAGAAACATTAATTTGCCTATGGGTGTCTTCAGATACCTGTGGTACCTGTGAGAAATAGTCAGATATACCAAGAAGGCACCCCCTAAATATTTGGGAGTTATCCGTATGCAAATAAAAGTTTTAAAAATGAGACTCTTACATACCACAACAACAAAGATCAAGGGAAATGGGATCTTAGGCATATGAGTGTAGCTAGACATTTTTATGAAGAGTTTATTACTTTGGGAAGGAAGAGGTAAGAAATATATATCTGTGTAGGTGGTAGCAGGGAGGATACACATGCCACTGAGAAGACCCTGCAGAACATATACATTTTCAGGACACAGGAAGGAAATTAGAAGACACTTCAAAAAAAAAAGTGAAAGAGGAAAAAAAAACAAGAACTAGGAGCATTCAGTGTAAAGAAAACCAAAGAAAACTTTCAAAGCCAGTGCAGTAAGATCAGGTAATAAGCTAATCCTTTTACTCCTTATTTCCCTCCCCTTAACATTAATTCAGCATCATCTCTATTACTCTTCTTCTCCTTAATATTGCCTACCAAGCCTCATAATCAGGGAACAAAAACGTTACTTTTCCACTCCAGCCTAACCAAGGACTCACATTTTTGAGAGGACAATGCTGACGTGCATACCACTCTTGGGAATAAAAGCACAGGATGACTCCTTGGCCCGCGAAAATGGAAGTCCACATCATAACGTTCCAAATTGGCCTTTTCCGACTGTCATTGACAATGAAGTTGAAAGCCACTAAAGTTAGAATGATAAAAATATATATATATATAGTTATCAAAACATCATCTATCAGGAAACAAGGGGCCTTAGATATGTGCTGTAATTATGTAATTATCACAATGAGCATCAACTGTGGGTATACAGGTTTTATTCTGGCCACTGGTTCTGTAAGTAAAAATGAAGCTTCAAGTATTGAAATTTATCAATCGGTGATTAACTGGAAATCAGAGAATATCCAGAGCAGGTGAAAATATGTCATGGAATCATTCATATTTGAACTTGTCCCTCCCTCCACCCACCCAAACGAGGGTCCGCGTTTTTCAGGGGTGAACACTGACAGAGTGCAGAAGTTGTTTATAGTCTTCATGACCTCCCAAATCGGTGTTATCCTTAGTCTTCAAGAGGCTATTTAAGTTCATTTCTCTACTTCAAAGGATGAGCATCCTGCGACAGAGCGTGGTTTAATTACTCAAAGTCAATGCTGTGACCATCTGATAAACACTGCCTTGAAATGGTATTGCTACAATCTAGCTGTCCACCCTGCCTTAGACTTCATTTTCTATAAATTTCTCTTTTAGCCTGATGCTCGGTACTCACAGCACGCCAAGATACTTACTTCCAAAGAACATGAAGAGCACGAAAAGCACTGGATAGAAAAAGCTCAAGCAAACAGCCAGCGCATATTCATGCACTATGGCAGAAACAGCAAAGACCGCTAACATGGCAGCCCACTTGAATCTCTTAGTGAAAAACTAGGGTAAAAGAAGAATATGAAAAAGTAATTTTTTAAAAAGTAATTAAGCGCAAACTAGATACAGCTGACCCTTGAACAAAAGGGGTTTGAACTGCATGGGTCCACTTATTCAATTAATACAGCACAGTACAGTAAATGTATTTCTCCTTATGATATTCTTATCAACATTTTCTTTTCTCTAGCTTACTTTATTGTAAGAATGCAGTATATAATGCATAGATCACATAAAATGCGTGTTAACCAACTATTTACCTTATCAGTAAGGTTTCCAGTCAATTGTAGGTGATTAGTAGTTAAGTCTTGGGGAAGCCAAAAAATTATATGTAGATTTTTTTACTGCGTGGGAGGGTCAGCACCCCTACCCGCCTTGTTCAAGAGTCAACTGTATATAAGACTTATAATTATCACATGCTAAAGGCACCTATTTAATTATGTTTATATTTGATTTTTCTAATCTACTCCTTGGATTAATCCAAATGTAGTAAATATTACAAAAAACATCTATGCTTTCAAATCCTTATTTTACTAAAATGAGGCATTGTCAAAACCATGAATGTTGAAAGAACTGGGCATATTTTCAAAAACCTATTTGTAACCTATGTCTGTAAGTCACTACAGTAGACAAAACAGTTTTCACATATAAATGGACAATCGAATCTCAACCTTTAGAGTAAAACCGTATGGTGGATAAGGCAGGCATTCTCTCCATTTTCACTATGATTTAGAAAGAAGCAACAGGCCTTGTCCGTAAGTGACACTACACTTACGAATGAAAGAACACTCGACTACAGCACCATTTGCACCATGTCTTGCTATCACTTAGCCAAATAGTGACTTACTTAATAACTAAAACCTGCAATCCAGAGAGATAATCATTCATGACAGTCACCAGTCAACATACATTCTGTTCTAAAGAATGTCTCAAAGACACGTATCACCAGTTGGAAAGATACAAATCCAAACTTAAGTGTTTCCTACTTCAGCAAAGAAACCCAAAAAACAAAAAAGCTAGAGGGAGATTATTTACTGGCATTGAGATTCATAAGAAATGATCCATTACTGGTGGATCATTTCACCTTCTCTGGATGCCTCCATGCGTTCTTACTTCGTAATCATGTAAAATACAGCCCGGAACACAACTGTGGTATTAGATCTCGTCACCGTACATACCGTTCAAAGCATAAGCTTTCTTAGGCAGAAATGGCCCACAGAGAACTGAAGACCACTTCCAGCTGCACAATAATAATACTTTCTGGAAAAGGATCTCCATTTCTTGAACATCAACTTTATCTTGCCGCTTACCCAGAGAAAGTCCTTGTAAGCATAGTAATACAACCAGTCATGAACCACCACGTTCCAGGTCCTGTAATAGTTAGAGTATGATGTAGAGTTCCACCAATCCTGAGGAAAAAAAGCAAAGATTTAGAACTACACATATACACATAAACACACATATACACACAGGACCAATGCAAAACCCCCTGAGTATTCCTAAAGAACATACACACACAACATAATATCCAGAGTGTGTCATGATAATTTGTTAGTCCATACACTGAAGTCAGAAAAATCTTAAATGGCATTTTGGTTATTAATGCTCAATATATGACACGAATTTTAGATCTACAGATGATGAAGTCTGTAACTTCATTCTATCTCATTATCAAAAAAGTTACGATGGAAGATACAGAACATAATCATTAAATCTAAGGTTCATCTAAATAGCAATCAGTAAATCTCCTCACCTTGCTAAAACACAGGGAGAGAAATCTAAGGTCCTATAGGCTTAACGTGCTAAGCCTAAAGAGCTGTCCCTCTGGTACCATAAACGACAAAATTTACACTGTACAATGAGTGAGACAATGGTTACCTGCAATAAATCCCTCCCTACTTTAGGATCAGACCCATGGTATCAGACAGCTAAAGTTTGCAACCCACACCCCCTGTTTCTCTGAGAAAGGAGTGGAAGGCTTTGGGTGTTGCCAGACCACCACAAACAAAACCCTGGAGGGCTTTAGGCAGGATTACAGAACACTATGAACACCCTGGCTCTTGTCTAGAACTTAATTCCAACTATTTTAAGTATAATTAATGCCTTTCAAAATAAAGGAGGGAAAAGTTATTTCCTGTATGAACTATTCAACAGTCTTAAATAATTTGCTAAGATCACTCCTATAGCACCAGACAGCCAATTTCAAATGAATGATCAGCAGAGTCTCATGATACCCTCTGGACACATGCTTTCCCACCAATACAGGATCCAGTAGAAACCATATGCTTTATTAAGGGAGCAGATATTAGAGGTAGAAGATAAGGCTATGAGGCTGTGCTAAGTATATCAACATCAGAATCTCAGACTTAATATTGATAAAACTCATGGAAAAAGAACTTTGCAATGTTTATGTTAAACATGCTCAACAATGCTCAAATACTTAACAATGAGGACATAAGTGCATAAATAAAATGTGAAAAGAAAGAGAAGGCCAAGTATACATCACCTTATAAAACATCCTGTCACCAAAGCGTAACATCTCAGCAAAGGCATTGAGCCAGCAGTGCAAAAAGGCAAAAAACATGAGAAACAGAATCAGCACACCTAAAAATAAGATTAACAATATTAAAGGCTTTCCAAATAGCTCATGCAAAGCAGTTAACTTTATGTCATCATATGCTTAGCTGGAATTATTCTGTAAAATAAAAGTTACTGTTCCAGCTTACCTATTCAAGAGATGACACCATGTTCTTTTGAAAGTTATTTTAATTTTAGAAAGCACTAAATTCCTTCCAAGTGGGTTTTTTTTTTTAAGATTTTATTTATTTATTTGACAGAGAATGATATAGTAAGAGAGGGAACACAAGCAGGGGGAGTGGGAGAGGGGGAAGCAGGCTTCCCGCTGAGCAGGGAGCCCGTTGTGGGGCTCGATCCCAGGACCCTGGTATGGTGACCCTAGCCGAAGGCAGACACTTAAGGACTGAGCCACCCAGGCGCCCCCTAGTGGGTTTTATAGATAACAAATGACCCAGCCTGTTTTTAATAGAAATGCCTAGCTATATGGTTTAACTTGGTACCCAAGGCCCTTTAAAATCTGGTCCTCATCCCTCAGTTTAAACCAGTTGCTTAAAACTGTGGGAGATTTTGCCCCCTAGAGAACATCTGACAATTCTGGAGACATTTTTCGTTGTCACAACTCAAGGGGTAAGGACTGTACTACTAGTATCTAGTTTTTAGAGGCAAGGAGATCGGTAAATATCCTATAATGCACAAGACAGCCCCCCAAAACACAGAGTTATCCAGCCCAAAATGTCCAGTGACAAAGTTAACTTATCTCTGACTCTATGCCCAGTGTTGTAAACATCATCCATAACTGGACTTCTGCCATTCGAAAATACTCTATGCCTCTGCTTCCATCCCACTACCTAGAAGCATGTTTCCACTACTTCTCTGCCAAACACCTATTTTTCAATACCCAATGTTAAATGTCATGTCCAATATGATACAAAGTTCATCAGCACTTTGTTTATCCTACTTAAGTAGTATATACTATACTACATTGTAAATATCCATTTATATGCCTATCCCTTTCATTCACCTGTTTATTAAAAAAATATCAAAGAATATGGAGCATCTACTACGTATTAGACAATATGGGAAAGACTGTGGTTGGCTGACTGGCTGTAAGACACAATCCTTGATCTCAAGGAATTTGCAGCCTAGTGAGGAAGACATGCATTTAATATATATTCTATTAAAGGGACAGATAAAATAATTTATTGGAGGGCGCCTGGGTGGCTCAGTTGGTTAAGCGACTGCCTTCGGCTCAGGTCATGATCCCGGAGTCCCGGGATCGAGTCCCGCATCGGGCTCCCTGCTCGGCAGGGAGTCTGCTTCTCCCTCTGACCCTAACCCCTCTCATGTGCTCTCTCTCATTCTCTCTCAAATAAATAAATAAAATCTTAAATAAATAAATAGATAGATAGATAGATAGATAGATAGATAGATAGATAGATAGATAGATAATAATTTATTGGAGTGAATCTTGGGGGGGCAATCAGGGAAGGTTACCTAGGAGTCTAGGAGAGAGGTTAAGGAAGAAAGAAGGTAACAGAAAACACGACCAACATTTGACAGGTAGAAAAAAAGAAAAGAATAAGTAAAGGAAACTGTAAACTAAACTGAAAGCCTCCAGAGAGTAGAGAGCATTTATGTCCTCTTCACTGCTAGGTGCTCAGCACCTGGCACATAATAGGTACTCATGTATCTCTAGAAAAAAGTAAGTGGAATGAATGAAGTTAGGAGACTGAGGTATGGCCAGAAAGACAGGAGAGTAAGAATGAGTAGCAAGAGGGCGCCTGGGTGGCTCAGTCGTTGGGCGTCTGCCTGTGGCTCGGGTCGTGATCCCGGGGTCCTGGGATCAAGGCCCGCATCGGGCTCCCTGCTCTGCGGGAGGCCTGCTTCTCCCTCTCCCACTACCCCGGCTTGTGTTCCCTCTCTCGCTATCTCTCTCTCTGTCAAATAAATAAATTTAAAAAAATAATAATTATAAAAATAAATAAATAAATAAATAAATTTAAGAATGAGTAGCAAGAGGGGCGCCTGGGTGGCTCAGTTGGTTAAGCGACTGCCTTCGGCTCAGGTCATGATCCTGGAGTCCCTGGATCGAGTCCCACATCAGGCTCCCTGCTCGGCGGGGAGTCTGCTTCTCCCTCTGACCCTCCCCCCTCTCATGTGCTTGCTCTCTCTTTCTCTCTCTCTCAAATAAATAAATAAAATCTTTAAAAAAAAAAAAAAAAGAATGAGTAGCAAGAGAGAAATTTCAAAATGTGGTCAAACAGCATCGAAACAATGCTTCGTGGAGATGAAATAGAATAAGGGCTAAACCATCTACTGGATTTAGAATCAGGAGGATACCAGTGATTTCAATAAAGGCCACATCAGTGGCCTGGTCGGATTAGAAGATTACAATGAACTGAATAGTGAACAGGAAGATTAGTCATGAATATGGACTACCCACAGTCACAGAGAGCAAAACTTGGGTGAAAGTCAGAAGACAAACAGAAAGTTTGTCTGGGCTGAAACTGGAAGTATACGCACTTATGAAATAGATGGAAAGAAGTCGAGATGAGTATAGATGTAGAGATGACTTCAGAGCAAAAAGCAGGAAAATCAAAGGTGTGCATGTGCAACAGCTCTTTTTCCTTATAACTTCATGAATGGCCAAATTAACCAGTACCCATGTTACCTGGCAAGATGGAGTTAAATACACACAGGACCAGAACACGAGCGCTGAAGGGCTCCTGTTTGATATTCCGAAACAAGGGGGCACAGAGCCTTTCAAAGATGTAGTACACATAAAAAAAGCAACCAAAAACCTGGAATATAACAGAGATATAATACTGATGGCTTGATAAAGAAGATAGATATGTGACCCTTAGACTAATGTTCACATATATATTCCATTAATGCTAGTATATAAGATTGCCAAACTGCAATCCTTCAGAGATATTACACAAGCTAGTTTCTATCATACCTTCTTCTCTCCCAACCCTTTATCAAATGGCATACCAAAAGATGAGACTCTTGGAACCTGCTTTTCCTGCTATGTGAAACCCAGCACAAAAGAACTTATTTCATAAAGGGGTATTTGATTGAGACAAGAGTTTAAAATGAGATCTTCTGGGATTTATGATTCTGATGGAGCGAGGCAGTGGGCGGCGATGGGGAAGACATCAGACCATACCCACACATATGTATCCCAAAACAAAAAACCATAAGGAGAGGGGGAAATTAACATAGATGCTTACTAAAGTAACCAAATGGGATGACTTTAATTAAATTCTTTTACTGAAGGAAATTACTTTTGATGTTGGCAAGACAAATACCACCTACTGTACTGGTAAAGAGTTTAAAAGACTTCAGAAAGAGGTCTAGAGTTCCCAGTAGACATGAATTTACCAACACTTTAAATAGATTAAATTATTATTATAAATTTGAATCCCCATGTCCCACTAATCAACAAACCTTAGGTAAAGAAAAAATTCACCTGTAAAAACTGCACAGCAACATAACCCCACCTTACAGTGGGAGTCCTAAAAAGGAAGAAACAAAGTAAGTTTTCTAAATAAAGTAAGTAATTGAACTTTAATAAAGACCCTCACAATATCCTCCCCACACAGAACCTATCATTTTTGGCATATGGAATGCCTGTATAATTCTGTCAAGAATTACTGTAATCAAATTGGATTGCTAGAATCACCACTTGGGACTTACCCGTGCCAGCAAGAAAGTTATAACTCATTTTATCTTCTTTGTAACCCTAGATGAACTGGCCCCTGCCTACCTACCCCACCACACTCATGCTACACTTCCGGTGCTCAACACATTTCTGCTTCACAGAACAACTACCTGGGATAGTTGTCACGGTAGATGAGGGTAGGTGCAAACAAAAAGTACAAGTACTGGTTGACTGTGGGTACTGGAATCGTCTCTGGAAAAGGAAAACTCTGGTTAGATCAGGCACTCTTCAATTTCTCCTGGCAAAACTAAGAGGGAGAAGTAAGAAAGCACACAGTAGGGAAGAGTAAAAGGACTTCACTTAGCCCATATCATTTCTTCCTGATCTCCCAGAGTGACTTCTTATCCTTATATTGATTCAGTATTGCCAATCCCTCTAAACTAAGCTATTCCTGTGACTTAGAAATACCTTCTGGAGTTTGAAACAGCAATTCAAAGAATAAGCACACATGGGGTGATGAGTCTATTAACATTATAAAAATAAGGCAAAGTTTTAAGACTCTGGCGATCAATGTTTTTAAATTGTAGGTACAAAGGCAAAACGGGAACAATCAGGAAACAGTGAGATAGTCTTCCAAATCAATATGGATCCTCCATATTTAAAATCAAATATAACGTCTATAGAATGTAAAACGCCATCCCACTAAATACCAAAGGTTAAAATACGCTATTGAATAATCCTTGACCTAACGAATTTACATACTTGATTTCTCCTTGGCTGAATTTAGTACCCGAGGCACATTCTCTCTGACAAATGAATAGGACTTCATTATGAAACGAATCTACAAAAGGAGGGAGGGAAAAAAAGATGAATGTTCTACCATCGTCTTATATCCTATAAGCAACCCCAGAACAGCACTGGATCATATAAAGAATTTCCTAATTTTGCATATACCAACTCAAGTTCACATTTATGGAATAAAACAAATGAAAAACAAACTGTAAAGAAGGACATTGTTATTACCCAAATTATTTTGTATCTAACAGTATTATCTATTGCAAGTATATTACAGTAAGAAATTAAAAGCCTGTTCAAAGAGAGTCTCCTGAAGCAGTCCTTCCCATTAGTCACACAGTGTAAATTAACAGACAGCCAACGTAAGTCAGAAAATTCTGAAGGCTGTACGAACAAAATAAATCCTTTATTCAGATGGGACCAGTTTATATGACAAACCAATGAATCTGATAACCTCAAGGGTAGAGTTTTTAATTACAAAAATATTTTATCATTTAAATGACTTCTACAAAGTGTTCAAGAATAAAATCTGAATTCATCCTAAACAGCTCAATATAATTTCACTGCCAAGAATCAGAGAACACTGAAGCTAGTATGAAGTTTAAGACATGAGATGATCTATCTTAAAACTTCAATTTTATAAATAATAGCACAAAGAACCAGATAGAAAAATTGACCCAACTAATACAACTAAAAATAACAGAATGTCAGTATTATTATTTTAACAAAACATAGCACTGCATCGGGCAACCCTCAAACCTTACCTGTTCAAGTATAACAATGCAGCGGGAAGCTGGTGGTAGGGTATATGCTAATACAACATATGTTGGTCCCAAACCTAGAACTCCAATCTGGAAGACCGTGAAAAGGAAGCAATGGAAGAGAGAATAGACCACTGGATGAGAACTCTTGCTGTAGCCGCTGGCCCAACATTGGAAGAGGAAATAGGGAACTAAAAGTGTACTCAAGAACATAGTCCACCATGTCCACATAACAATGGGAAGTTTGCCAAAAGCGTAAGACAAGAGATTGAACTCAAGCACCAGCCTAGGGAGAAAAAGCACAGAGAAAGAGCACAGAAGTGAATTTTTAATATGCACAGACTCATAGAACTGAAAACTTTTCACACCTAAAACTCTCAACCTTAGAAAACACAGCAGCATTAATCCGTCGTGGTCATGAGGGTAATAGTTGTGCAAGAGGGAGAGGTGCTTCTAAGCCTCTGCGTCACAATATATCCCAACAATAAATCTTCTAAAAGCCCTAAGATAATATAGTATTTGAACATAAGATACCCAAGATAACCTAAAATAATAAAACTTTAAACTTCGCAGTGATTAGATTCTAACATTAATAAATTTTAGACTCTAAGATACACTAATACATAAAGTATTCAAATAGCAATCACTGTTATGTCCAAAAGATGATTTTTCAGAAGAATAATTCAAAAATCTATTAATACATTATTATACCATTATCTCAAAATGTAATTTGCTAATAATGCACATAAGTTGGTGTATGATTACCACACTGTCATTTATTTTATTTTATTTTATTTTTAAGATTTTATTTATTTTTTTGACAGAGCACGAAAGAGGGAACACAAGCAGGAGGGAGTGGGAGAGGGAGGAGCAGGCTTCCCACTGAGCAGGTAGCCCGATGTAGGGCTCAATCCAGGACCCTGGGATCATGATCTGAGCCGAAGGCAGATGCTTAATGACTGAGCCACCCAGGCACCTCACCACACTGTCATTTTTAAAGTTAAATTTCATTTTTATATTAAAAAGAAAAGTTTTCCAGGGCGCCTGGGTGGCTCAGTTGGTTGGGTATCCGACTGTTTCCGCTCAGGTCATGATCTCGGGGTCCTGGGCTCAAGCCCTGAGTCAGGCTCCACGGTCAGCGGGGAGTCTGCTTGAGACTCTCTCTTCCACTCCCTCTGCCCCACCCCCCACTCATGCACACATGCTCGTGCTCTCTCTCCCCCTAAAAAATTAATCTTTTTAAAAAAAGTTTTTCAAGCATTAAATTCTAATAAGCTACTTATTTTCACTAACAACCTGAAATATACACCATAGTGGGAAAATTGGTAAATTGTATATACAAAATTCTCCCATTTAGGAAAATTACCTAGAAACTACCAATTATGGACTACTAAAATAGACCATTTTCAAAATAAGATGGGGGCGCCTGGGTGGTTCAGTCGTTAAGCATCTGCCTTCAGCTCAGGTCATGATCCCGGGGTCTTGGGATTGAGCCCTACGTTGGGCTCACTGCTCAGTGGGAAGCCAGCTTCTCCCTCTCCCACTCCCCCTGCTTGTGTTCCCTCTCTCGCTGTGTCTCTCTCTGCCAAATAAATAAAATTTTAAAAATAAATAAATAAAATAAAAATAAAATGAAACTTCTAATATTCCTTTTAGTTGTGCTTTTAGGGAGAGGAGAATATCACCTTCCAATCAGCTGCTTTGGGATCTTCTGAAGCAAATTTACCCAAATCACCAAAATTTACCAAAATTTAAATACCATGAAAACTCCCAACACCCTATTCATCAACTAGCCAAACGTCCTTTCTCTTGTCTTACCTTCCTTCATCAATGTAATCTACAACAAGTGTGCTGAGGATAAAGAGAATGAGGAGGGCAATAAACATGTGATATATTGTTCTGATGTGGTCCACCTCAAACAGCTCACTGTAAATACAGTTCAAACAAATACAATTAATTATATTTCATTATAAGACACCATATATTAAAGTCTTTAAGGCAGGTCAGCAGATGCAGACCCACCCTCAAACAGTAATCATGAACAAACATCTCCAACAGGAATCCCAGAATATTAAACCTGAAGCACAGACAGTAAATGACATGACCAAGGTAAAAACTTAGTGTAAAAGCTTAGGATAAGGCTCTTTCCAATAAAATGATACTGTCCCCTAGAAAACAGCATGGATATCAAACACTTAAAACAAATGGGGAGCATTCTTGAAAACCTGCCAAAAGTGATTGCTTCTTAGGTAGGCAAAAGGCACTGAAAACAGGAAACACAAAAGCTATCCCAAATGTTAACAAGGTTTTGTCTTCAATCCTATTACATTCTACTCCCTATACTTAACTACTATTAAGTGCTATTTCCAAGATGTTAAGATTCACAAGTATGCTTTTCTATAATGCAACTACCACCCTACATGTCTATACACTTAACCATTTACAAATGTTTTTACTTTCTATCCTCACTGATCTTTATATTTGATTAAAACAGGGCTACTTCCGGGGCACCTGAGTGGCTCAGATGGTTAAGCGTCTGCCTTCGGCTCAGGTCATGATCCCAGGGTCCTGGGATCGAGTCCCGCATCGGGCTCCCTGCTAGGCGGGGAGCCTGCTTCTCCCTCTGCCTCTCTCTCTCTCTTTGACTCTAATGAATAAATAAATAAAACATTTAAAAAAAAAAAAAAAAAACAGGGCTACTTCCAAAATACAGCAACAACTTTCCAGATGATGTTTTCTTAAAGAGGTATTTTTTTTTAATTTAACTAAAACAAGTTTTTTTAGCTTTGCTTTTGCAAAGATGTATGCTTACATCTTCTACATACCTTTTCAAGGATATCTTAGATTGCCCTGGATCAACGATCTTCAAATTCTAATAAAAACCAACCTGAGCCATAAAATATGTGTTTTATTTCCTTGGTTAAAAAAAATGTTTTGTGGGATGCCCAGATGGTTCAGTTGGTTAAGCATCCATCCAACTCTTGGTTTCAGCTCAGGTCATGATCTCAGGAGTTGCAGGATCTAGCCTTTCTTTTTAGCCATTCTTTTATTATTTTTTTTAATTTAAATTCAATTAGCCAACATACAGTGCATCATTAGTTTTTGATGTAGTGTTCAATGATTCATCAGCTGTGTATAACACCCAGTGCTCATCACTTCACTTGCCCTCCTTGATGGCCATCACCCAGTTACCCCATCCCCCCACCCACCTCCCTTTCCACAACCCTCAGTTTGTTTCCTGGAGTCAAGATTCTGTCATGGTTTGTCTCCCTCTCTGACTTCTTCCCATTCAGTTTCCCCTCCCTTCCCCTGTGATCCTCTGTGCTATTTCTTATATTCCAGATATGAGTGAAACCATATAATTGTCTTTCTCTGACTGACTTATTTCGCTCAGCATAATACCCTCCAGTTCTATCCATGTTGATGTAAATGGTAAGTATTCATCCTTCCTGATGGCTGAGTAATATTCCATTCTATATATGGACCACATCTTCTTTATCCATTCATCTGTTGAAGGACATCTCGGCTCCTTCCAGTTTAGCTATTGTGGACATTGCTGCTAAGAACATTGGGGTGCAGGTGCCCTTTCTTTTCACTACATCTGTATCTTCAGGGTAAATACCCAGTAGTGCAATTGCTGGATCATATGGTAGCTCTATTTTCAACTTTTTGAGGAACCTCCACACTGTTTTCCAGAGTGGCTGTACCAGCTTGCATTCCCACCAACAGTGTTAGAGGGTTCCCCTTTCTCTGCATCCTCGCCAACATTTGTTGTTCCCTGTCTTGTCAATTTTAGCCATTCTGACTGGTATGAGGTGGTATCTTGTGGTTCTTTTTAGCCTTTCTTTTCAGCAGGGCGCAGGCAGGCCTCTGTGCTTAGCAGGGAGTCTGTTTCCCCCGCTTCCTCTGCCCCTCCCCCAACTGGCACACACACTCTCTCTCTAAAATAAATAAAATCCTTTTTAAAACGCTTTGTAATTAAAGTACACTTGAGGGGCGCCTGGGTGGCTCAGTCGCTTAAGCGTCTGCCTTCAGCTCAGGTTGTGGTCACAGGGTCCTGGGATAAAGCCCTGCATCGGGCTCTCTGCTCAGCGGGGAACCTGCTTCTCCCTCTCCTCCCTGCTCCTTCTCTATCTCTGTCTCTCTCACCAATAAATAAATAAAATCTTTAAAAAAAAAAAAAAGTACTTTTTTCATATAGTGCAATTCTATCATTAAAATCTTAATTATAATGTTCAAAATAATTTATTTTCCCCTGCCTGCATTTCCCCTCCCCACCAGATACAGATTTTAAAAGTTAAAATTTCTTCAAACAATAGTGTGGCAAAACACTAAAACTGTAGGATACAAGGTAACATGTTCAGAAAATTTTGGCCTTCTCATCGAATATAAAGTTGGCTCACAGAAAGTGAATTTTGATAAGCATAAAATGTATTGTTTTAAAAAAGCACATTAAGACACTCAAGATAATTTTTCACCCGCCCAACTATTTCAGATGACCTATCCTAATGCAGGTGAAATTACAGCAGTATTCTGAGGAATGATTGAGTAAATAAATAAATGATCTACTCAGAGAACATCACAAAAGAAATATTCATTACCTACCTACAGCACACCTATTTCAGTTCACAAGTGAGGTCACCATAAGTAATTTACTGTGCCTAATTTTCTCTATAAAATTCACACAATCAGGGTTCTAAAATATGTAAATCTGAGAAAACTATCAAGTTTCTAAGCTGGCCAGCCAAAGAAGAGATGAAAAATATGTAATATACCAAGAAGGTAGCAACACCAAAACATTTGTGAAGGGGTTTACTTAATTAGAAAACTTTTGTTCTAGCTTTTTGGGTAATCAATTCTCTGCATTGCAACTTCAAGAAATTTATCAGAGGACAGATAACCATGCTCATTCTAACTCCTCCTTTGAAACTAGATATAGAACCAGAAGATCACAAAGGAGGACCAAGAGACAGCAAATGTACAAGAAGTTCCAAAACTAATGATTTCTATGAATTCAGAACTCATTAAACATGCATAAATTAAGCAGTGATTTTAGTAATCAGAACAGTTTTTAATTCAAACTAATAATTAATAAAAGCAACTAAAAATACTCACTCTAAGAGAGACTGCCTTAAAACAAAAATCTTTCCATGTTCTGGAGGTGCTCTCAAATCTCTGGGAAGAGCAAAAAAATAAAATAAAATATAAATACTTCAAGTATTTTAAGAAATTTAAACCTATGGATAAGAGAAAGAATATTACCAACTATAGTATATAACGTTAATAAAGCACCTCTCACTCTGACCCGGGTACTATGTGAAGGGTTTTGTGCATGTTATCTCATTTACTCCTGAACAATGCAATGAGGTAGATACATGCAGGTCTGGGGAGAAGGAAGAGGTGCTAGGCACACCTCGGGAGAGCAGCGCTCAAAGGTACTCCACAGCCCAGCCCCTATGGAAATGCATTCCTGGCATCACACACAGACAACCCCTTTTCCTTCTCCTAAACATCGCTAAGGTCAGAGAGAGGCCTCTAGCCATACGCCAGTTCACATGCTGTTATTGGTCTGTCCTCTGCACTAAAATTTATGAGACCCTCACCCTCCCTAATGTCAAAGGACTTCAACAATCCCCAACAGCCTCCTGATCTTAAAGGTTGCCTCCAGTTCCTAATATCTCGCATTCTAAACATCTAGCATTATCATCATTTTTAGGGCTTTCTGCACAATCACCCACACTTCTGTCAACTATTAGTGGTCAAAACTGTCCTCCGGAATAGAAGTGACTGCCAGAGACCACTGGGGCATAAAACTGAAGAGAGCACAGAATGGCAAGTTAGCACATATGGGCCTCTGATAGCTTTCCCTCTGCTGCTCCGGATGCCTGACCAATTAGAAACATGTACGCTAACTGTTGTGCTTTATTACAGGTATTGGATAGAGTACAATAGGGAGGCACTACAATGATGTGGTGAAGGGCATGAACTCCGGAGCAAGGCTCTGGGTTCCAATACCCACTGTGTGATCTTGGACACGTAACTGTCCCACACGTCAGTATCCTGATCTGTAGCATGAGACTGTTATGGTATCTACCTCACGGGGTCATTGGTTTAAATGCAGAGCACTCAACAAATGTTGGCTCTTTTATTTTGTAAGTCAGCATAGTCTTAGATGAGGTACATGCTTGTTATAATCCTCATATTAAGATGAAGAAACCCACCTTTCAAGTGGCTAATTTGCCCAAGGCAACACAGAGCTAATAAAAAGTGGTGCCAGGGTGTGAATCCAGGCATTTTTACTACAGTCCAGATTCTGACCGCTGAGCATTATCAGAGACATGTTTGCACTAAAAGAAACTAATATCTATACTTACTTAGCTCTGTGGTTGTTCTCTCCTTCAAGAACAGAAAAGCTTGTGATAGCACACCCACCATTGTCTAATGATGCTGATTTTTCAATGAGATTGGTCACAAAATCATCAAAGTGACTGCCAACTTCCTTCATAAAAAATGGCTTCAATTCCTAGAATTTTAAAACAAAACAAAAAAACATTAGGAACACATGGATTATTAACATTTTTCCAAAGGATTCTCTTAAATGGAGCTGGATCAAAAGAAATCCACGTTAAGTCAGTTCACAGAAGTAAAAACAGAAAAATGATTTCTACAGCTAAGCTGCAGTTTCAGAAATGGCTACTGAAAAAGCTACATGCTGATTTAGGTCTTTTCAAGAATTTAGACCCTTTAATGCATAAATCAAAATATCAAAGTAATCTCCTACTAAATGAACTCCAGGAAAGATACATAAAAACAAAGTAACAAAAATGGTAAAACTGACAGTCTTATTTCTCTTCCAATTTTCATCCGGAAAAGAACAAAAAGAAAAAGGTCAGTATTATATCACCATTATATAATTGAAGTCCCTTTTCTTCTCAAGCCAACCCTGCACCACACCCCGCCCCCTCAAAACCCACTATTTATATTTTAGGTCATGTCATTTCTGTATGATACCAACATTTACACAATGTTTACTGCTACCTCCACAGCTATATATTTATCTAGCCATAACACACACACACACACACACACACACACACTTTCAAAACATAAAATTGTTATATTTTGGTCCCAACCTATTTGTAACATCTTAGAACTTATATAGCCACAGTTTTTTAAAACTGTGAAGCAAAAAAATTATTTCTTCAGGTTTTAACAGGCCACCTACTACAGGTATTCAAATTGTAAAGTTGAGTATTTTAGAATTGGTTGGACTCATCTACATAAAGGAAAACGAGGTCTTTCAAACGTTTTAAGAAATAAATGCTCATTTCTCTAAATTGTTTAGATTGAACCTAAACAGAACCTCTAGGTTCTGTTATACCAAGAGTTTGACTAAGTCTTTTAAAAAGTAAAGCCTAAAAATATCAATATAATTAATGGAACTACATGAAGGCTTTTCAAACTGAGACAAGGGAACTAAAGGACCCCATGAAAAACTGCTTTTTTGCTCTTTTTCCTGCTTCTGTTCTTGCAAGAACCCACATCCCCGCCTCACACATACCTTATAGAACAGATAATGTACGTCCTGCTTGTGTAGGTCAAGGAGTTAATGATTTCTTTGGAGTTTTCCAGCACAATAGATAACACCTAAGGAGTGACCTGGTGGGGTCGTCATGTCCCCTATTTATATTTTAGGTCATGTCATTTCTGTATACCAACATTTACACAATGTTTACTGCTACCTCCACAGCTATATATTTATCTAGCCATAACACACACACACACACACACTTTCAAAACATAAAATTGTTATATTTTGGTCCCAACCTATTTGTAACATCTTAGAACTTATATAGCCACAGTTTTTTAAAAATGTGAAGCAAAAAAATTATTTCTTCAGGTTTTAACAGGTCACCTACTACAGGTATTCAAATTGTAAAGTTGAGTATTTTAGAATTGGTAGGACTCATCTACATAAAGGAAAACGAGGTCTTTCCTTTATGTAGGAGTCCTTATGTTTTGAAAGACCTCGTTTGAAAGACCTGCCCCACCCCCGGCAGCTTGTTATGAAAACACTGTCCCACGTAGAGGGCAGTGCTAGTTCTGGGCACAGTTGTTCTAGGCACTAGAGATACAACAATGAACAAAACCAAGTCCCCGTCTTCATGGAACTTAAAATTCCAATGAGGGTAGACAGGACATACAGAATGCCAGAGGGTGTTACAGAAAGAAATAATGCAGAGGTATGGGGGGTGGGGAAGGTGTTTTTCACAGAGGTCAAAGGAAAGCCTCAAAGACAGCATGACATTGGAGATTTGAAGAAGGTAGGAGGGTAAGTTAGTGGATATCTGTGGGAAAAGTACCAGGAAGGAAAAAAAGCATAGGTGTATAAAAAGCCCTGAGACAGGAACCCTGGACAGGCTTGCGAAACTGTAAGGAAGGAGGATGTCAAAGCTGAAGAGGAGTGGTAAGAGCTGAGGTCGGAAAAGGAGGAGGGGATGTGGCACCTGGCTGGCTCATTTGGTAGAGCAAGTAACTTTTGATCTTGGGGTCGTGAGTTCAAACCCCACATTGGAAGTATAGCCTACTCTAAAAGAATAATTAAAAAATAATAAAAATAAAGAAGGAAGGGGTAGAAGGAGGGGGTGCTAAATCATGTAAGGTTTTAACACTTTGCTCCCTACTCCCATCAGTCCACTGAAATTTTACTCAGCATTAAAAAAGAAGCCTGGAGTCTTGAGACGTGGCAAAAGGATGTCAAACCTTTTCTTTTAGCTAGTATTCCTCATACTCTGCAACCAGTCTCCTTCCCAAGTAAGTATTGGCTTAAGCAGACCAGAAGCATGAAAAAAAAAATCATAATAAATGTTACACAAATGTCAGTAAAAGCTGTTAAAAGTCAGGTCCTAATCCATCCAACTCAAGGTGAAGAGCACACAGCCAACATCTTCCACATAAGCTCTTGGCCTTCCACACTACTCACCTGCACAGGAGCCTTTGCCTTACACTCCAGAACTTGCAGCTTCCAGTCCTGTAGTGAGAACACCTACAACAACCTCCCCACCCTCACCCTCTTTATCAACTGTACCCTTTTCTCTTCCCCTTCCTTCTATTCCTGTCCTTTTGCTCCATATTCCAAAACTCCTATCTTTTCTTCTTTTCCGGTCACTCCACAAATAAAGAGTACCCCTTGTTATCCCAACCCACTATACAATCCCAGGAACCAAACAGATCTGGACAACAAGGAGTATTTTTATTCAGCACCTACGGTGGTGAACAAGATACAGCCCTGCTCTCACTGAGCTCACCGCCCATCAATGAGGAAAGACACAAATTATTCATGGTGCAGGGAATGCCACCAGGCATTCAGAGTGACAGAAAGGAGAAAGAGAAGAGAGAAAGTAAAAGAATAAAAATTACAGGCGTCTCAATAGCATGAGGGACAGTATAAGGTGGTGCAGATGTCAACTCTCCTTGTAACTTCCTTTCACAACTGCCCCCCCACCCCCCATCTATGACCCCAACCTCTCATACCCAGGACAGGACAGAACACTTCTCAAGGTCGCTGAGCTAAAAAGGGTTCTATTTTAATATGATTAATCTGTGTCTCCTTTTCCTGAAGTAAAATTTATATGCAGGAAGGAAAAAGATGTCTTTAGTGCTGAGTAATAAAGTAGTAAAAGAAATACAAGCTTTTGGGGCACCTGGGTGGCTCAGTCAGCTAAGTGTCTGCCTTCTGCTCAGGTCATGGTCCCAGGGTCCTGGGATCGAGCCTGCTTCTCCCTCTCCTCCCCACTCTTGCTCTCTCTCACGGTCTCTGTCGCTATCTCTCTCTGTCTCTGTCTCAAATAAATAAATAAACCTTAAAAAAAAAAAAAAAGGAAATACAAGCTTTCAGCCAGGCAGACCTGGGTTCAAATTCTACCTCCACCACTTGAGTGTGGCCTCAGGCAAGCTATTTCACTTTTATGAGCAGTTACTCATGTGCAAAGTTGAGATGGTAAAATCTAACTTACTAAACTGTTGTGCAAATTTTTTAAAAAGCCCCAAAACAAATCCCCTGCAAAAAATGCCCAGCACAGTACCTGACATAGTTATCACCTCACAGCTATCTGTTGCTCCAACCCAGTCAGAGCCAACCAATGAAGAAAAAACAATGTACAATAAAAGTCGTGCTATAACTATTTTTTATGTATATTTTTATCTAAATTCCAGTTAGTGGGGGCACCTGAGTGGCTCAGTTCAGTTAAGCGTCTGCCTTCGGCTCAGGTCATGATCCCGGGGTCCTGGGATTGAGCCCCACATCGGGCTCCCTGCTCAGCGGAGAGTCTGCTTCTCCCTCTCCCTCTGCCTGCCACTCCCCCTGCTTGTGCTCTCTCTGTCAAATAAATAAATCTTTAAAAATAAACAAATAAATTCCAGTAGTTAACATACAGTGTAATTAGTGTCAGGTATACAATATAATGATTCAACATCTCCATACAACACCTGGCGCTCATCATAAGCGCCCTCCTTAAACCCCATCACCTATTTAAACCACCCTCCACCCACATCCCCTCTGGTAACCATCAGTTAAGAGTCTGTTTCTTGGTTTGCCTCTCTCTCTTTTTCCCCCTATGCTCATTTGTTTTGTTTCTTAAATTCCACATAAATGAAATGCCTTTCTCTGACTTATTTTGCTTAGCATAATACTCCACCCATGTTAAAAGGTAACGATTCAAATCTACCATATTCCCGTACACAGCATTATACTAACTAGATGCCTGATATTCATTTCTTAACACTGAGATTTCTCCCCTTTTTCCAAGCAATTAAATGCCGGAGTCCAGCTCCAGCCGGGGTGGGTCTCTCGTAGGAAAGGACGGCGTCGGTGAATGAGGAGACACAGACACAGGATCAGGTTGCAAGCATGTCCTCCTGACAGCCTCGGAGGAACTTTATTTATATTTTAGGATATTTTTGTTTTTCCAAATCTTAGATCATTTTCTGGATTACAGCCATAGCCTTCTTTCATTTTTCCTTTGTAATGATTAACATGACCTTTATTGATTTCTGCTTATTGGCTTTCGCTAAAACTAAAAAACAGTACGCAAAGAGAAAGGTGCTAGACAGAGCATGACCGTCTTGTTATTTTGTTCTATAGAAACTAATTCTTCGTGGAATTAGTTTCATTATGATTGCTTAGATAGGCATAACTAAGATGAGTAGTCACTTTATCATGAAACCCCAGAAATATTCCCATAATTCTAAAGATTGCCATAAACAAAATGAAAGAGAATAGCAGGAGCCAGCTGTGGAGTCTCCTGTTTTCAGGATCGTCCCCCATACTTGGACTTTGTCAAACAGCATGAGTAGCTTGGCTCGCGCCAATTAAAGTGCACAGAAGCTGCTGCCGCTAGGACACAAAGAAGAACTCTGTTGTGGGCACTGAGTTTCCTTAGCTTCTCCTTTCATGTATCTAAATACTGATGAAAATAAAGAGTGACTGCTTATTGCTATCACTCCCCGTATAAGAGGAAATAT